TCAGGGGGTTGGGGAGCTCCCCCTGTCATGCACAGAGCAGGGCCGATCAGGGGGTTGAGGAGCTCCCCCGTCACTCACAGAGTAGGACCGATAGGGGAGTTGGGGCACCACCCCCTGTCACACACAGAGCAGGGCGGATCAGGGGGTTGGGGCGCCACCCTCTATCACCCACAGAGCAGGGCTGATCAGGGGGTTGGAGTGCCTTCCCCTGTCACGAACAGAGCAGGACGGATAGGGAGGTTGTGGCCCCGCCCCCTGTCACACACAGAGCCGCAGGGCGATCAGGGGGTTTGGGCGCTGCCCCCTGTCATGCTGATCCCGGTGCAGAGAGGCCTCGCGGCTCCGCTGATCCCGGTACTGGGAGGCATATTACCCTTTTACTATATAAGATAGAGGCCTGGTGCATAGGTGGGAGCCGGCTGGTTTGCCTTGAAGGGTGTCCTGGATCAGGGTGAGGGTCCCCACTGGGGTGCCTGGCCAGTCTGGGTGAGGGGCTGAGGGCTGTTTTCAGGCTGGTGGGTGACTGAAGCTCCCAACCGCTCCTTTTTTTCTTTTCTTTTTTTCTTATTCTGGGCCAGCTTTAGCTCTGGCTCCAGCTCTGAGGCTTCTGCTGCTGAAAGCAGGTATCTGGTTTGTTTGGGTTCTAGAATCGAAACACTGTATCAACCCCAGCTCTGAGATCCCGGCTGGCTGAAAGCAGTTTTCTGGGGTTTTGTTTAGCTTCTATATTTGTAACAACGTTTCAAACTGCAAGCTCAGAGGCCGGCAAGGCAGGCAGGGAACGTTGGTTTCCTCCGTCACTGAAGCAAGCAAGTCTCATGTTAGCTTTAAGCTGCCTGACTGTCGGCCGCCATCTTGGCTCGCAGTTAATTTGCATATTGCCCTGATTAGCCAATGGGAAGGGTAGCGGATGTACACTAATTACCATGTTTCTCTTTTATTAGATAGGAGGACTAGAGGCCCAGGGCACACAAAATCATGTGCGAATAGCTTGCTTCTGCTTGCCTCAGCTGGCCACTCCGTCCTCCGCTGCTCATAGCTCTTAGTAGCTCACACCCTGCCCCGCCTGCCACGAGAGCCGAGGCTCTTGGGCAGAGGGATTGTGGGGGGACAGAGAGGTGCTCAATGCACTTCCCAGTGGTTGTTACAGCGTTACGGCCACTGGCCTTTTATAATATAGAGAAGATATAGTTTATATACAGAGTAATTATTTAAATGAGATAAAGATGAATAAACTGATTTTTTAAAAAATAAATTTTACTGATTTTTTACAGAGAGGAAGGAAGAGGGATAGAGAGTTAGAAACATTGATCAGCTGCCTCTTGCACACCCCCTACTGGGGATGTGCCCACAACCAAGGTACATGCCCTTGACCGGAATTGAACCTGGGACCCTTCAGTCCGCAGGCCAATGCTCTATTCATTGAGCCAAACTGGTTAGGGCTAAACTGATTTTAAAATAAATGTCTTATTTTGCTTGTTAAAACATTTGTTCTCATTAAAAAATGCTGTGGTTGGCCCAGCAAGTGTGGTTCAGTGGTTGAGCATCGACCCAGGAATCGATCAAGTCAGTAGGCTTGATTCCCAGTAAGGGGCGTGCATAAGACAGCTGATTGATGATTCTCTCTCATCATTGATGTTTCTCTCTCCCTCTCCTTTTCTCTCTGAAATCAGTGAAAATATTTTTTTAAAAAATTGTGGTAAAATATACATAACAAAATTTACCATTCAAACAATTTTTAAATGAAAAAAGTTTATTGAGAATTTTACATTTATGGTCATGATACAGGTCTGTGCTTTACTTTTCTTGCAATGTCATAGCAATGCTGGCTTCATAGAATGAGTTAGGAAGTATTTCCTACCCTTCACCTTTTGGGAAGATTTCTTTTTCCCTTAAATGTTTGGTAAAAATCACCAGTGAAGCCATCTGGACCTGTAATTTTCTATGTGGAAAGGTTTATAATTAAATTTCAATTTCTTTAATATAGGGCTGTTCAAGTTATCTATTGCTATTGAGTGAGCTTTGGTAATTTTTGTCTATCATAGAATTTGTCCATTTCACTTACATGGGCAAATTTAGTGCCAAAAACTTGCTCATAATATTCCCTTATCATGTATTTTACTTGTTTGTTTTTTAGTTGCTTCAGGCAAGAGGATAACTCTAATCCTTGTTACTTCATCTTAGCCAGAAGCATAAGTCAGGACCTGTACTCTTACTCTGAGATAAGGGTTATTGGACAACTTTGAGCAAAGTTGTGAAATGAGTTACTAGTTACAAAATTCTGGCTGTTGTGTTAAGAGTAATCTGAAGAGGGTTAAGGGCAGAATCAGGGAGACAAATTAGTTAACTGCAAGAGACTATATTGGCTTGGACCAGTGTGGTGGTAGTGTGGTCAGTCAGAAAGTGGTAGAATCTTAGTCAAGTTTGAGCTGACTGGGTTGTCTGAAGGATTAGTGTGGGGTGTGGGAGAAGTCAAGGATGCTTCTAAGGCTTTTGTCCTGAGTAACTGGAAGAATGGAGTTTTGCTGAGAAAGGGAAGAAAGACTGCAGGAGGAACTGAGGAGAGGGTGAGGCCTGTTCTCCTTTTTTAAAAAATATGTCTCTATTGATTTCAGAGAGGAAGGGAGAGGGAGAGATAGAAACACCACTGATAAGAATCATGGATCAGCTGCTTCCTGCATGCCCCACACTGTGGATCAAGCCCGCAACTGAAGCATGTGCCCTTGACCGGAATCAAACCTGGGACCCTTCGGTCCACAGGCCGATGCTCTATCCACTGAACCAAACCGGCTAAGACAATGGTAGGCAAATCGCGGCTCACGAGCCACATGCGGCTCTTTGGCTCCTTGAGTGTGGCTCTTCCACAAAATACCGGCTTCTGCGCATGGGCCACGAAGTTTCAATCGCACTGGACGTGCGCGCCCGCACGTGGTATTTTGTGGAAGAGCCACACTCAAGTGGCCGAAGAGCCGCATGTGGCTCGCGAGCCGCGGTTTGCCGACCACGGGTAGGGTGAGGCATGCTTTCCTTGAGATGCCTATTCATCCTCCAAGTGAAGATTTCAAAGTAGGCAGTTGGTTACATAGATTCGAGTCGAGGGGAATGGTCGGTGCTGGAGATACATACTGAGAGTCATAACCATTCCAATGGTATTTAAGGCCCCAAGACTGGAGACTGGATGAGGTCATAGAGGAGTGAGAAGAGGCGGGAAAGAGATCCAAGACTTAACCCTGAGTTAGTGCTCCATCCAACAGACTAAGAACAGCTGGAAAAGTAGACAGAAAACAGTCAAGTGTGGTTTTTTTTGGAAGCCTGCAAGTATTTCAGAGGGTGCAGTGATTGGTTATGTCAAACTCGATAGAACAAGTAATTTATGGACTGAAAAATGACTATAGGATTTAGCAACAAGGAAGTCACTTGTGACCTTGGTATCGTGTGGATTAACTGCAATGGCTTCAAGAAAGAATGAGAGAAATGTTGTATTTGTTAATTCGCCTCCTCACTAAAATGTATAGGTGAACTCAAAACCAATACTCACCGTGCTTTCCTTGGCCTTTGGCAGACACGTGCAGCCTGGCCAAAAATGGGAGTTGCATGCAGCACGTGGTTCCCAAATGAGACAGAACAAAGCAACCATCTTATTTCAATTATTGCACTGATCTGTTTCAAGCTGTATTTTTAATATTTTTGTGGTTTTTGTTGGTTTTGCTGTTTAAATGCCCCTCGAGTATAGTGCTGAGGTGTTGTCTAGTGTTCCTGAGCACAAGGAGGCTACAATGTGCCTTATGTAGGAAACACTTGCTAGATAAGCTTCTATAGGCATGAGCTCCAATGCTGTTGGTCATGAGTTCAACTCATGAATCAAACAATATACAGTAAGTTATCTTTAAACAGATACACACATAAAGCAAGATTATGTATTGATGGGGGGGGGGTGTGATGTCACAAAAATGTAATGACCAGAGTCCGGCAAAAACCTAACCTTGTATTTCCCCTGGGAACAGTGGTTCCGACTTGCTAAGTCAGTGTTTGCTATGACCTAAAAGAACATAACTCTACTGAAGAAGGAGAATCAATTCTAACAGAAACATTTTCAAACATCTCTTTTTAAAACGATGTCAGAAAGGCAGGTACTTACTCCACTAGTTCTTGAATTACCTTTACCTTGCAAGTCCCAATTTTTTTAAAAAGCCATCTGCTGGGACATATTTCTCACTTGAAAAACGTCAGCCTATTTGGGACACGTATCTTTGTGCAAAAGGAAGTATGTATTAGAGCACATCAACTTCAAGACAGCAGTTCTCTCTGGTCAAGGAAAGGCAGAGGAGTGAGGCTGTTGCCTTCACTTGTGTCTAGCATTTCTCTAAAATAGAAATAAGGCATATGATATTATACTTGAGCACTGGGTAGATGATTTATTATCCTATTCTTTTTGGAATATTTAAAATGTAACTATAACTTAATCAGATTAAATCACACTCTTGTAATATTTGACTACTGGCTAAAGTGCCACCGTCAACCGATGGACAGCTCCTGATGAGCCGGCGATGTCACTGACCACATGGGAAGGTCAGGGACACGCTGTTACAGTTCACAGCAAACAACTGGATGGCTTTAGGGCAGACTCACCCCCTCCAAAACGACACATTGCAATCAGGCTCAAGTATTAAATTACAGCCAGAAAGTACCGGTCCCGTTTGGGTTGGGGGCGGTTTCTAGGGCTGAGACCAGACCTGTGCCGGCCACTCACTCACAGGCTGGGGATGGTGAGCAAGTCTGGCCTCCGGCTGGACAGGACCGCGCGCCTCCAACCAGGCTGGGGACCGTCTGGCCGGCCGGCCATATAAGGCCCACAGAATCATGCGGTCCGGCCCTGCCAAGGCATTAGGGGTGAGTTAATTAAACGTTTGACCAAATATAGCAGGCTAAGTTGATAATTTTGTATGTCAAGGGAACGATGTTATAAATATCCAAAAGGCCCCTGGCAGAAGGAGGGTTCCCCACCCCTGCCGGAACTAGGAGCGTGCAGCAGAACTGGATTCGGCGGCACCGGAAACGGCAACTCCCACTTGGGGCTCTGCAGACGGAGTTGAGGCTGCCTTCCAGGAAGCCAAAAAAAAAAAAGGGAGAAAGAGAAAAAGGAGGGATAGCGGGGAACAGGCCCGCGCCCGCCGCCCACGCGCCGCGCCCCCACGTCTTCGCCTTCCCGGCTGCTGCCCTCGGCCTCTGGCCGCTCCCTGGTGGCCCAGCCCTCGGACGCCGCGGCCCGCCGGCCACTGCCCGCCGCTGGGGACCTCAGGTGCGTACCCCGCCTCCGCCGCCATTAAGAGCGGGTGCTTTCCTTGGAACTTTCTGCTCCCCCGGGCCCGCCGAAGGGGAGGCTTAGGGAGGCCGCCCGCCCAGGTGCCTGGAGGGAAGCGCCCCTTCGCCGCCGGCCCAGCGGGCCCCGAACCGCGCAGCTGGCGGGCAGGGCCCCAGGGGTGGGGGTGGGGCGAGGAAGCTCGGCCGCGGGGGTGACGGTCGCACGCACCGAACGCGCCTCCTTCTCCCTTCCGATTGGCCAGGCGGAGCGGTGGGGGCGGATGCTGCAAGCCCTGGGCTCTCGGGGGCCCGGGGTGCGTGAGGCCCCGCCCCGTTTGACGTACGCGGGCCTCTCGCGCTGTGGGCAGACGTGCCTGATTGGTTAGGTTAGGGGGCGGGCTTCCCCTGTTGCCTAGTAACTGCCGGGTTCCATGGAGTCCGGCGCCACCGCCGCTCGCCTTGCGAGTGGCCCGCGGCGTGGGTTTGTCGGGGGTGTGGCCAGTTGGGCTGTCTCCAGCGGCCTGCTGGCCGGAGAACCCGGAGGCCCGAAGAAGAGCCTATGGCCCACGTGTAGTTTAGAGACAAAGGGGGGAAAAGACCCCCAAGGCTGTATTTTCCGCCCTTCAAACCCAACCTTTGCTGTTTACTGAGGTACCCCAATGAAATTCACCCTTTAAAAGTGCATGATTCATTTGGTTTTTAGTTTATTCACGGAAGTTTTGTAACCATCACCACTAATTCCAGAACATTTTGATCACCCAAAAAGGAACCCGGATTCCATTAGACCAGCGGTTCTCAACCTGTGGGTCGCGACCCCTTGGGGGGTGTCCAACGACCCTTTCACAGGGGTTGCCTAAGACCATCGGAAAACACATATATAATTACATGTTGTTTTTGTGATTAATCATATGCTTTAATTATGTTCAATTTGTAACAATGAAAATACATCCTGCATTTCAGATATTTACAGTACGATTCATAACAGTAGCAAAATTACAGTTATGAAGTAGCAATGAAAATAATTTTATGGTTGGGGGTCACCACAACATGAGGAACTGTATTAAAGGGTCGCGGCATTAGGAAGGTTGAGAACCACTGCATTAGACAGTCATTTCCCATTTCCCACCCCAACCCCTGGCAACCGCTAATGTGCTTTCTGTCTCTATTGCTCTGACTCTTCTGCACATTTCCTGTAGATGGGCTAAGGAGCCATTTGGGTCTGGTTTCTTCCATTCTCTTTTATGACTGAATAATTATTGTATGGGTATACCGCATTTCTGTCAATTTATGGCAATTCGGGTTGTTTCCATTTTTTTGGCTATTGTGGATAAATGCTATGAGCATTCCTGTACACTTTTTTTGTGTGCATATGTTTTCAACTCTTGGGTATATACTAAGGAATGAAATTTCTGGGCCAAGCTCTGTGTTTTAATTTCATGCTGGTAATTTGAAGTAAACAGATGTCTAGGTATAAGATTGGATATTGCTCAAAGCTGCAACTGAAGAATTCAACAGCCTTTTCTCCCTCTTTCCTTCCACTTAGAGAGGAAGGCTGGATCAGTGGGACTGGCCACCTGGACGTTAGTGGACGCAGGGCTTGGTGCCAGCTGCAGCAGGTGTCAATCTGCAGTGGCGATTTGGAGTGGGTCACTGTTCTTCCTGCCTGCCTGCTGTCCAGCCTCTGATGTTTGCTGCCCACAGCTCCGAGTTTTTGCCCACACCTTCAGCCTGGAGCGTTTCTTTCCTTATTCTCAGGCCACAGGGCTCAGGTGCTCCCCACCCCACCCCAGTTGTTGATTCTGTGTTCCCACATGCCCTGGACCATTTCAAGGATGTCTGGCTTTTCATTTTGCCTTTATTACCTGCTACTCTGCCATGTCGGTCTGCCTCACTTGAGAGTGCAGGAGGCGGATTTTTCCACCTTTGTTTCCTCCCTGCCCTTCCTGACACTGTGTTGGTTTCACACAGCAGGTGCTCAATACATTTTTGGTTGGTGGCTGTTTCTAAATTTTTTATTAATTATTTGGTGAGGCTAAAGTTCTTGACTGTTTGTTAATCATTTAGATCTTATTGAAAATACATGTTATTTCTATTTCTCTTCCATACTCCTTGAATGCCAGAATATTTTATTGTCTTGAAATTTGTTGTTATTAGTTTAAAAAATTTTTCCAGTTTTATTGAGATATAATTGACATATAACATTGTATTCGTTTTAGGTGTACACCATAGTGTGTGTGTGTGTGTGTGTGTGTGTGTATACACACACACACACACACACACACACACACACATACTAGAGGCCAGGCTCATGGATGGCAAGTGCAACAGTGGTGGTGGGAGCCTCTCCCGCCTCCGCAGCATTTGGACATCCCCGAAGGGCTCTTGGACTGCAAGAAGGTGCAGGCCTGGCTGAGGGACACCGTCCCCCCCCCCCCCCCCCCCCGCAAGTGCACACATTTCATGCACTGGGCCTCTAGTAATTCAATACAGTAAATTCAATAATAAAAATAAGCAAACAACCCAGTTTTTAAATGGACAAAAATTTGAGCAGGCATCTCACCAAAGATGATATATGGATGGCAGATAAGCACATGTAAAGATGCCCAGCATCATTAGTCATTATGAAAATGCAAATTTAGCCCTGGCAATTTTGCTCAGTAGTTAGAGCGCTGGCCCATGGACCGAAGGATCTTGGGCTTGATTCCCAGCCAAGGGCACCTACCTCAGTTGCAGGTTCCCCAGCCCAATCAATGTGTTTTTCTCACGTGGATGTTTCCCTCTCTCCTCCTCCTCCTCCCTCTCTCCACTCTCTTTAGAAATCAATGGAAAAAATATCCTCAGGTGAGAATTTAAAGAAAAAAAAAATGCAAATTTAAACCACAAAGGATTTCACTACCAACATATTAGAATGGCTAAAGCAGCCGTGGGCAAACTAGGGCCTGCCGGATCCGGCCAGTTTGAAATGAATAAAACTATTGAAAAAAAAGACCATACCCTTTTATGTAATGATGTTTACTTTGAATTTATATTAGTTCACACAAACACTCCATCCATGCTTTTGTTCCGGCCCTCCGGTCCAGTTTAAGAACCCACTGTGGCCCTGAGTCAAAAAGTTTGCCCATCCCTGGGCTAAAGGTTTTTTTTTTCTCACCTGACAATATTGTTCGTTGACAAAGGTGTGAGCACCTGGAGTTCTCATGCATTAGTGATAGGAACACTAATGGTACAGTCACTTTGGAAAACAGTTTGGTACTTCCTTATAAAGCTAAAAATATACTTAAGCTATGTCCCAGCAATCCCACTTTTAGGTATTTACACAAGAGAAGTGAAAATTTAGGTTTAATCCAACCAGCATGACTCAGCCATTGAGCATCCACCTATGAACCAGGAGGTCACGGTTCAATTCCAGCTAGGTCCCAGGCCCAGGTTGTGGGCTCGTGGGGTATGCAGGAGGCAGCCGATCAATGAGTTTCTCTCATCATTGATGTTTCTATCTCTCCCTTTCCCTTCCTCTTTGAAGTCAATAAAAATATTTTGTTTTAAAGAACACTTAGGTTGACACAAAAGCCTACCTGTAAGTGGTTGTAGGGGCTTTATTCATAATCATAAAAACAAACTGTGAATAACCCAGAAGTTCTTTAAGAGGCAAAAAGGTAAATTGTATATCCCTACAACAGTGTACTTAGTGAAAAGAAAAAAAACTGATACAGTGAACAGCACAGCGTGGGATTCCATTTATATGACATTCTGGGATACCAAAAACTACCGGACAGAAACAGATCCGTTATGGCCGGAGGCTGGGATGCAGGTATGAATCGGCTACAAAGAGGCCTGGAGGAGTTTTGGGGGTGATGCAGCTGCCTTTGCTATACCTTGATTTTAGCAGTGGCTACAGATGTTATATTTGTTAAAACATAAAACTATGCACTAAAAAGGTGAAGTTACTCTATGTAAATTATACCTTAATCTTAAAAAGTTTTTATGACATGAGCAGGTATTTCACCTCTAATAATCAAAGAAATGAAATGTAATTTTAATGAGAGTCTAAGTTTACATCAGTTGAAAGAATTTTTATAGTAAAACCTTGTTCCTTTACTTTAAAGGAAAGAGTAAATGGTCTGTTTGACCATTTTTCCTCTTTTTTTTTTTTTTAAATATATTTTATTGATTTTTTACAGAGAGGAAGGGAGAGAGATAGAGAGTTAGAAACATTGATGAGAGAGAAACATCGATCAGCTGCCTCCAGCACATCTCCTACTGGGGATCGGAATCGAACCTGGGACCTTTCAGTCCGTAGGCCGATGCTCTATCCACTGAGCCAATCCGGTTTCGGCGACCATTTTTCCTCTTGCTAAATAAAATATGCAGACATAAACAATGATTGACTGAGCTCAGACATGAGCGTCCCAAGCTTTTTGGTCAGCTTCATGGAGAGACCTCTGAGCTTGGAGGTTGTTTTAAGGACACACAACGTCATGACCTCATGTTGTTTTTTTGATTTCACAAACCACCCACATGGGAACATTTTATAACGCGTCCTCCAGGCACCGGAGCGTGAACCGGCTTCTTCCCTTTCTGAGTGCTTGCATGGGAATAATTGGAGCATTAAACTGGATTATGGGAAAAGCACTGGCACCAAGTAGTATGTGTTCTCTGAGTGTTAATTTCTTTTTTCTCCATCCAACCTCTCTTTGATTTCATTTCATTTTTAAAAATAGCTTTATTTACCCCTAGCCAGTTTGGATAGTGGATAGAGCACAGTGGGTCCTGAGGACTGCAGGGTCTCGGGTTTGATTTTGGTCAAGGGCATGCACCTTGGTTGCAGGCTCGATCCCCAGGGCCGAGTGCAAGAGACAACCAATCAATGTGTCTCTCTCATGTAGCTCTCTCTCTCTCTCTCTCTCTCTCTCTCTCTCTCTCTCTCTCTCTCACCCCTTCCCTTCCACTCTCTCTAAAAATCAATGGAAAAATATCCTCGGGTGAGCATTAACAACAACGACAACAACAACAAAGCTTTATTTAGATAAAATTCACATATCACACAATTCACCCATTTAAAGCAATTCAGTGGTTTTTAGTGTATCATCACCACAGTCAATTTTGGAACATTTTCATCACCTCAGAAAGAAACCCTGTAGCTCCCCCTCTCCTCAGCCCGACGCCACACTGATCTTTGTCTCCGAGATTTCCCTATTCTGGACATTTCATATGGATGACTCATAAAATATGTGGTTCCCTTGATTTTAAATTGAGGGAGCTCAGGAATGGCCAGAGGTGAAGGTGGTGGATTTAGTGTATCCTTCACAGAAGAGGAGGCTGGGCGCAGCCCACTGGGGTCAGGGAGCTGGTGAATGGTCTGGGAAACCACAGCCTGCCTCTCTTGGCTGCCAGCTCTGTGGGGACCAGTGCCTCATGCCTCCTGCTGCATAAGCTTACATCACCGGCCTGGGCTGCTTTATTTACCCTTTGCTTACAGATGTAATTAGCCAACTATGGCAGGGGCATGACAAGTATTTATATAACACATGCTTTATTTAACAAAAGCTTTCTATGGTGTTGGAGAAACTTTTTCAAAGAAGCGTTGTAATGCTAACTTGATACAGAGTGTGGCAAAATTTGCAGTGAGCTTTTATGCAGGAGAAGTCCTAGCAGGAAAGGAAAGGGGATTTTCTCTTCCTGTCTTTAGTGTACAAAACCACTTATCTCCTTCTTCTGTGTATGTGAGACAGGATGTGGTGTCTGCCCTGCCATGCTGAAATATGACAAAACATCGCTGGATCGGTAGGGTTCATTTCCTTCCCTCCTCATCTAGGAAATGGTGAACATGCTTCTTTCTCTAGTATAAAACCTGAATTTACTTTATGAGAGGTGGTGTCTAGGTTTCGTGGGAAATACACTACATGAAAGTTAGCATTATTATACAGAGGTCTTGGTAGATCACTTATTGTGTTAAGTATCAATTTCTTCAACTCTACAGGAAGGTTTGAAGCAGGTCATGTGGAGGACCCCCACAGCTCTAAATGTGAGCAGGACACTGTGGATTTCTACCACTTATTTCTTTCTCCTTCTCTTGTACAGGGATCATGGCCCAAGTAGCAGTGTCTTCCCTGCCCATGGAAAATGAGGCCTCCTCAGAGAGCAGGATGGAGGTGACGTTCCTCATGTCTGCTCTGGAGTCCTTGGTGAGATGGTCTGCAGTTCCATCAAACATTCTGTGGTTGGATCACTGTAGAAATAACAGAACCGGGGAATACTTCATTTTTAATATTCAAATTCAGTTTTACGTCCTATCTATATAAGCATACCCTTCTTCATAGAGGATAATGGGCTTGTCATAGTTTGTTTTTCTTACATGATGGATATAATGATATAAATTTAAGCTTTCCAGATCTGACATTTTAATGAAGGCACCTGTGTTACCTTGTTCGAGAATATGTCTTGTCTGAATTCAAAGGTAAATTAATGCGCCACTTGCATGCATCTGTTTACATCCATTGGCAATAAGGGTCAGGCTAACAGCTCATGCCTCCTGGTATGATGCTCTGAGAAGGAGCAGAACCACTTCTGTGGTGTTCCCACTAAACCCCGAATCTAATGAAGAAACATCAGGTTAAGGGACAGTCTACAGATTGGACTTATATGTAAATGTCAGTGTCATGAAAGAAAGAAAAATCTGTTCCAGGTGGAAGGAGACTGAAGAGACAGGACAGCAAATAAAAAGTGTGACCCTGGATTGGATTTTTGATCAGAAAAAAATAGATATTTACTTATTTTTATATAATGAAGATTATTGGGTCAATTGCCAAAATACCAAATATTCACATACACACACACACCTTGACCTGTCATGTTCAGACTATAGAAAATCAAATATAAAGAGAAATTTTGAAAGCAGTCTATGATAACCTGAATAATGGCTGCCCAGAGACATTCATGTCCTCACTCCTGAGCCTGTGAATGTTCCTTGAACTGGAAAAGTGATTAAGTGAAATGTGATTAACCCTCTTGAGATGAGGAGATGATCCTAGATTTTCTGGTGGTAAATAAAACTGTTTCTTAAAAAAACTTGGAATAAGTTCTTTTGTCTTTTTTTAATTTTTATTGATTTCAGAGGGAAAGAGAGAGGGAGAAAGAGATAGAAACATCATTGATGAGAGAGAATCATTGATAGGCTGCCTCTTGTACCCCCCATACTGGGCGTGTGCCCTGACGGGAATCAAACCGTGACCTACTGGTTCATAGGCCTACACTCAGCCACTGAGCGACACTGGCTGGATGGAATAAATTTTAAAAGAAAGCATCAGGATCTATGTGAAGAGAACTAGAAATATCTTAACCAAGAACTGATCACATTCCTTCATTTGACAAATATTCAGGGAGTGCCTCCAGTATCTAGGCCATTTTCCAGGCACTGGAGCTGTAAGATTTGAGAGGACAGAAGAGGTCCCCTTCGCATAAATCTCATATTCTATTTGGGGAGATGGACAATAAGCAAATTCTTTGCATGTGTGAGGCCTAAGAGGTCTGCTTAAGAAAGTACAAAACTAGGTACAACATTTTTTAGAATGAGAAAAATCACCCAGAAGAAACCAAAACTAATTTATCAAGCAAATACCATAAACACCACTTCATTCCTTGTATTTCAGTGCAAAGAACTGGCCAAGTCCAGGGTGGAAGTGGCCTGCATCGCAATGTATGAAGCAGAAGTGTTTGTCGTTGGAACTGAGAAAGGACGAGCTTTTGCCAGTGCCAGAATGGACTTGCAGATGGATTTTGCAAAATACTGTAGGTGTTAATAATTTTATCCTTTGTATTCATAAACTGTAAAATATTTGCAGGCAAGTCTTGTGTCATGTTTTCTTCTAAGACATCATAAGCATTATTCTAAAAACGTTTCTGACCATCTCCTTTGACTTGGCAAACCAGTGCCAAGCCACACTGGCGCGTACAAGAAACATAGTGTATTTTGTGCTGGGTCCTCAGTGGGATGCTGGTTTTGTGGACTAAATTTGAAGTATATAAAGTAAGTTGTCTCTGATTACTAAAATAAACCCACATTTAAAAAAAAATGCTCTTATTTTACTCCTTCCCGAAGAGAAGGGTAGAACTCCTTCGGGGCTTGTTGGGTATTATTTTTGGTTAATAACCATTTTACTCCATTTCCCCATTTTTTACTATGTTACTTTCAAGCCTTCAATATGCAAATATGTGCTGCGAGTGCCCGGGGGCATTTATGAGCATGTGTGGTCATATTCAAGGGAAATTATACTCCAAGGCAGTGATTTCAACCTTTTTCATCTCATGGCACACATAAGCTAATTACTAAAATGTTGCGGCATGTCAGAAAATGTATTTTGCTGATCTGACAAGAGAAATAGGTATAATTTTGATTCATTTACACCAGATGACTATTGTTGTGTTGGCTGTTGTCATATTTTTATTTGACAATCTAAGGGAAAAGAAATCAATTATTACATGTTTTAAAAAACATTGCAGCACACCAGTTGAAAATTGCTGCTCTAAGGTGTTATCTTTACCACTATAAGTCATCTATTAAGTATTGAGTTAGCAATTTTGTATTTCCTGGAATCAAGAAAGGAAAGTTTAATCAAAGGTTAGATATAGATATGTAGATATAGATATATAGATATGTAGATGTCTTTAAGAATTAGCAGAGGATATATATATCTATATATATATTATCTTGATGTGTGTGTGTGTGTGTGTGTGTGTGTATAAAATCTTGATTTGATAGATATACATTTGTTTTGTAATAAAATTATATATATAATATTTTTTTGAGGAGGATGCCTATACAGCATCGATTGCTTTTGGTCAGACTGAAGGAGCCCCTAAGTGCAGTGTTTCCTGAGGGAAGCAGCTGGGGGAGGTCTGGGGGAACACAGAATAGGACTAAAGTTGGAGGGGACCTTAGAGATGCACAGTGAGATGAAAGGAGAGAGTAAGCTCCCTGGGAGCCGTCCCTCAGAAGCCAGAAAGGCAGGACATGTTATCAAGGGGCTCCGGGCCTGGGGAAGAGACTTGATGCCCACTCGGACATTAAGAAACAGGCTCACCGAAACCGGTTTGGCTCAGTGGAGAGAGCATTGGCCTGCAGACTGAAAGGTCCCAGGTTCGATTCCGGTCAAGGGCATGTACTTTGGTTGCGGGCACATCCCCAGTAGGGAGTGTGCAGGAGGCAGCTGATCGATGTTTCTCTCTCATCGATGTTTCTAACTCTCTATCCCTCTCCCTTACTCTCTGTAAAAAATCAATAAAATATATTTAAAAAAAAAAAAAAAGAAAGAAACAGGCTGGGGTGGGACTTGTCCACCAGGAGAATTTCATATATATGTGAGATGGATTCCAATTGACTTCTAAAACCAAAATTTAGGGTCTCTACTATCAAGAAGATAGATTAAAAAATGAAGCAGTGAGTATGGTATGTGATTGATGAACAAGAAGGGTAGTCTCAGTTCATGTCAGCTGGCAATTGGATTTCTAATTGTTGAAATTTAATTACAGCATTTTTTAAAATTTCACAATTGCATGCTAATTTTTCAGATACAGGGCTATTCATGTTTTCTATTTCCTCTTGTACCCATTTTGCTAAACTTTATTTTTAATGACTTTATTTCATCTAAGTTGTCAAATTTCTCATTAAATTTTTTATAATATTTGCTTTGTAATTTTAATCTATGTATTGATGTCTCTATTTTAGTTTCAGATATTGGTAATTTGTGTTTTTTTCTCTTTTTCTTGATAATCTTGAAAGGAATTCATCTATTTTACTTATCTTTCTAAGGAACCAACTTTTGGCTTTTGATTTTCTCTATTTGTCTTTTTTCTTTGTCAATTACTTTTGCTCTTATCTTTATTATTTCCTTACTTATAATTTTTTTGGCTTTACTTGATTTTCTACCTTTTTTGTTTGGTTGCCTAAGTCATTGACTTTTTAAAAAAATATTCATTTAAAATTATAATTTTCCCTTTAGATTCTGCTTTAGCTGTATTCCAAAGACTTTGAATATTGTGCTTTTACTATCATTTAGTTAAAAATATTTTCTAATAACCCTAGTAAATGATTTTGACCCATATTTTCTTAGGAGCATGTGCCTTAATTTCTTAATATTTGGGGATTTTTTGTTTGTTTATTTGTTTTTGTTTCTAATTACATTTTATTATGTTCTAAAAATCTACTCAATGTGATTTTAATCTTTTTTAATTTATCAAGACCTAATTTATATCTTAGCACATCATTTAAGCCATTCCTGGCTACCACTTGCAGTGCCATTACCTTTTGCATCTCTTTTGGTTATCATTTGCATGTAATATCTTTTTCCATCCTTTCATGTTCAGTCTATATATGTCTTTAAATCTAAAGTGAGTCTTGAAGATAGCATAATATCCCATTGTTCTTTATCCTTTCTTCACTTTTTTTTCATTTTTTTTCTTTTTGCTCCTCTAACTCGATGACTTCAAAGACTTGTTTTTGAGTTTGTTTATTCTTCTGCCTGATCAAGTAGGCTGTTGAACACCTCTAATTAATTTTTCAGTTCAATTATTGTATTTTTCAGCTTCATAATTTCCGTTTGGTTCTTTTTATAGTTTCCATATTTGTCAGTATTCTCATTTTGTTCATGTATCATTTAGTTGTCTGTATGTATTCTCTTTCAGCTCATTGAGCATCTTTGTGTTATGACATCATGACAGTTATTTTGAATTCCTTGTCAGGCAGTCCAGAGATCTGCATTTCTTTAGGATTGTTCTGGATTTTTATTTTGTTCCTTTGATTGGGCCTGTTTCTGTGTATGCCTTGTAATTTCTTTTCTTGAATTTGGGCATTTGAAAAAACAACCACACCTCCCAGGCTTTGCATACTGGCTCTGTGCAGGGGAAGACCTTCACTGATAATACTGCGGGCTGTTCTCGGACCTCCCTAACCTTTTTAAGTATCTTTCTCCCCCTGGTGTCTGCCAACAGAACTGCAGCTCTAACATGCTGACGCGCTTTCAGCAGCTACCAAACCGTAGTGCAGATCCCATCAGTGCTTGGAGCGAGACAAGACAGAAACCTCTTCCTCCTGCAGCCCCCAGACAAGCCAGAATGTTGGCCACAGGGTCCACTCTTTTGTTTCCATCCCAAAGGAGGAGCCCCAGCATGGGGGTTTCCTCCCAGTTGCTCTGCAACTATGCGGTGCCAAGCACAAGTAGACACACCAAATGCCAGGAATTTTCCTACCCCTGGAATCCCTTCTTGGTTTTACAATGGGTTAGACCAGCGGTTCTCAACCTGTGGGTCGCGACCCCTTTGGGGGTCCAATGACCCTTTCACAGGGGTCGCCTAAGACCATCGGAAAACACATATGTAATTACATATTGTTTTTGTGATTAATCACTATGCTTTAATTATGTTCAATTTGTAACAATGAAAATACATCCTGCATATCAGATATTTACATGACAATTCATAACAGTAGCAACATTACAGTTATGAAGTAGCAATGAAAATAATTTTATGGTTGGGGGTCACCACAACATGAGGAACTGTATTAAAGGGTCGCGGCATTAGGAAGGTTGAGAACCACTGGCTTAGGTGCTGTGGCTTCTCAGCTGTTCGGTGGAGTTCTCACAGAGATGTTCTGGTCTGTATTTTGTTAATTTGCTGTTGCTTCTTCGTCTGCCATATTGCCAACATCACTCTCCTGCTTTTGTTTTTGAAGAATGCATTTACTTGGTATGGAATTCTAGATTGACAGTTTTTTCTTTCAGCCCTTTAAAAGTTTTATTTATTGCCTTCAGGCTTCCATTGTTTTAGATACAAAGTCAGGTTAGAATCCTAACTTTTGTTCTTCTGAAGGTAATGTGTTGTTTCCCTTGGGTTGTTTAATCTGTGGTTTTCGGCAATTTGTCCATGATATGTCTATTTGTGGTTACCATCAATTATGGACATTTTGGCCATTGTCTCTTCAAATATTTATTCTGATCCATGTCTTCCTCATTCACACATGTAGAAGAAAATTTGATGTCCCGCAGGTCAGTAAGGCTCCGTTCCCTTTTTTTTTCTTTTTTCTTTTCAAGCTTTAGATTGAATTGTTTCTATTACCTTTTTTGAGGACATTGATTCTTTCTTCAACGGTGTGTTGTTAAGTCCATCCTGTGAAAAGTTCATCTCCAATCATTTTTTACTTCTAGAATTCTATTTCCTCCTCTCTCTCTTTCTTTTTAGTTGGCATTTTCATTTCTCTTTAGGGATTCCCCATATACTCACCCATTTTTTCAGCTCCCCTGAAAATTCTTAAATATATTTATAGCAGTTATTTTAAGTCCTTATCTGATCATTTCAACATCTGGGTTTAGGGGTCCTGCTTCTATTTTTTTCTTTCTCTTCATCATGGATCACATTTTCCTGCTTGTTCATATTTCTACTAATTTCTTATTTTATACTGGGTATTGTGTATGATATGTTATAAAAGTCTGCTAGTCTTGCTCTCTTTTTTCGGAAGGCAGTGAAATTACTGGCAGGTCACCTTGACCGTGTGGGGAGCCAGTGTACATTTAGCTCCGTGTCCTACGGCAGTGATGGCGAACCTATGACAGCGTGTCAGAGGTGACACGCGAACTCATTTCTTTGGTTGATTTTTCTTTGTTAAATGGCATTTAAATATATAAAATAAATATCAAAAATATAAATCTTTGTTTTACTATGGTTGCAAAGATCAAATATTTCTATATGTGACACGGCACCAAAGTTAAGTTAGGGTTTTTCAAAATGCTGACACGCCGAGCTCAAAAAGGTTCGCCATCACTGTCCTACGGCATCATTCTCAGTCTTGGAGTGTGGCCCTTACTCCTGGGGTGTACCCATTAGTTTCACAAGGTGTTTATCAAGCTTCTCTAACTTAGCAGAACTTGAATTCTAAACTCTGTCTTTCTAGCACCACACAGCTGTTTAAATCTCTGCTCAGCCCTTTAGCTTGTTGCTTTTTCCTTAAAGTCTCACCCTATGCTGACACAGTTGGGCCAATCAAGAATTCGAGGGAAATTTCTATGAAGACATTGGGTCCCCCACCTCTGTGACTCACTCTGTTCCAGGATTTCCCCATCAGTTTCTGGCCACGGTGGCAGCCCTGACATGTGACATAGATTTGAGTAGCCAGCTCAGCGAGAATCTCCATCTGTGTAAGCTTCCCTTTCTTCAAAGTCTCTGCCTGGTTTGGGTTGTGCTTCAGTGCCTTCAGATACTTGGTTTTAGTATTTGTTCCTGAGCCTATCACTGTGACTAGCAAGTACACACTTCTCTGCCATTACTGGAACTGGAACATTGGGTGTGATTCTTGAATAGGTGATGTTTGTTTCTTTAGAAGTTGTCATGGAAGTGAGGAAAAATTACCGTGGAATAGCAAAAAAGCAACAACACATTTACCTCCCCTCTGAAATTAGCAACCAACTCCCTATGGTATAAGTGTTCATTCACTAATTGAGTACTCAAAACAACAGAAATTTAGACTCAACCTATATTTGCGCTATAGGTGCTTAATAGGAAACAATACAGAGTAAACCAGGAATTGGCAAACCTTTTCTTTAATGGGGCAGAGAGGACATAGGCTAGTCTCTGTGGGGTATTACAGTCTGTTGCAGCCACTCTGCTTGCTATTGTGGTGGGAAAGCAAAACTGGGTAATAGGCAAAGGACTGAGCATGGCCAAGAAAGCCTTGGTTACAGACCCTGAAATTTGAACTTCAAATTTCATATGATTTTTATGTGTCATGAATGATTCTCTGCTTTCAAACTCTCTTAACCATTTCAAAATATAAAACCGTTTTTAGCTCACAGGTCGCGCAGAGGCAGGCAGGCAGTGTGCGGGACCTGGCCCATTGTCTCCTGGCCTCCGGAGTGAAGTCCGCAGGAAGTATTCTCACTTCTCTGCCACTCTGTTCCCTCTTCACCTGTGAGCCAGAACTGTTTCAGTGACCAAACACACATAGGTTTTCAACTGCTTCCTGCTTTGGGCCTCGTTGGCTGGTTCTAACATGTAAATGTGCATAAGCATTGCTTTGCAGAGTTGTATACACAGAACTCTATACTCTGAACCTAATGGATGACTGAGGGTGTTCAGGTATAATTTTGCCCGGCCACAGTTCTTGCTTTACATTCGACCTTAGGACATGACTCCATTGTATGGGCCTCTCTAGCTCAAGACATCGCTGTGTGACAGCTGTCAGGTTATTGCTCTCGGAGTCTGTCCTTCTCTGCCCTGCCCGGAGCTGGAGCTGGGCCCTGTAAGCATCGTCCTTGGGCAGCTGGACGGGGAGAAGAGATCAGGGCGCTGCCCTGGGGAAGGAGCATCTCTTCCTGATACCGCAGGGTTCCCGCCTGCTGGGCCTGCGGCCCCTGGCGACCAGCAGCAGTTGGGATTCCCAGTAGCTCCCCTGCCGCACTCAGCGTCCAGTCAGCTCCGTCGGCACCCCTGCTGGCTTCCCAGCAAGTCTCACAGAAGTCTTAGAAAGTTCCAGAAGGAGGCTTCCCAGTGAATCAGCGGCACACCTCTCCACTCCCCCCCGCCCCAGGCAGTTTCCTGGGGAGGCCCTCCAGTGCCCCAGAGAGTGGCTTCCCAGCTAGTTCTGTTGGCATCCCCCGCAGGTGGTTTCGGAGTTCCACCAGCATCCCGGAGGGCAGCTTCTTTGCAACACCCAGCGAGCCTTGCAGGCCCCTGGGGGCAACTGGCCCATGGTTTCAGCACCTCCAGAGGGTGGGTCCCTGCTGGCTGGCTCCAGCTTGCTGCACCCCAGGCCACTTCCCACTCTCGGACAGGCCATGGCTGCATCCGCCCCAGAGCTCTGCATCTCTCTTCCTGATCCACAGGGTCCCTGGGGGACCCTCTTCCCGATGGGCTCCTTCCTCAGCAGCGGTAGGGCTGCTCCCACGCCAAGCTGCTGTGTGTTGAGTTCTCATTACCCCTTAGTAGTCAACCCCTTGTTGCTAGTTAATGAATCTTACTACACTTCCCCGTTCAAATTAACGTGCAGTTTCTGTCTCCTGACTAGCCCTGATTAAAACCACCGGTTTCAAAACTTTTGGAATAGCAGCTGTAGGGGGCCGGTTGCGGGGAGGATAGGGACCTAGCTGGTCCTGAACGTGTGCAGTGGTGAGGGTCATCCTACACAATGACTGATAGCGAATATAACTATAACAAACACCGAGTCTGCTTGAAAATAATTTCCTTTGATCTACTATTTCCTTGTGTGATGAATCACTTATAATTCTTTAGCAATAAATTCATTTAAAAAATGCTCATCGTGTTATATTATCCTGATCATCCTAAGTAGCTTATTCTTATTTTTATTTAAATAAACAAAGATCTTGTTTTATGTCTATTACTCTTTTCCCTTTCCTTTCCTTATGCCAGAAGCATAGAGATTAAGGACGTGCACGGCACACATGCTGGGTACTGACTGTGCCGATGACTCGTTCACAGGCGCTGCAGAAGGCCTGCCTGAGACCAAACCCCTGAGCCCTGGGAAAGGGATGCAGCTCAACTCGGGAGAAACGGAAATACTCAGGAAAGCAGTGGAGGACTACTTCTGCTTGTGTTATGGTAAAGTGCATTCATGTGAAGCATTCATTCTCCGAATAGTTCACTGTGGAGTGTTAGGTCATCTTATGGTGTGATTATTTAGATGGTTTCTAACATCTGAACATCCACATTCTGATCAAACGAAGAGCCGTCCTTAATTAAGGACCAGCTCAGGTTTTCTTACAGAAGACAACTTGGTTTCTTCTGGTCCATTGAAACCTCTGGATTGATCAGACTTCAGTGTTGGCTCCCATTTGGGGGGCCCCAGATGCCCCCCACTCCTTGGCCAACCCAGTTATTAAAGGTTTTTATTGTTGCTTTGGTCACCAGCCTCTCCCTAACCCTAACCCTAACCCTAACCCTAACCCTAACCCTAACCTACCCACATCTTTCCACATCTACACAGTGTCTTAAAAAGCTAGATAACGGGCCCAGCCGCTGCCGCTGCCGCGTGGGTCTGGTCCAGGGGCGGCGGGCGGGTGGCGGCCTGCGCCAGGCTCCCGCCATGGGCTGGGGAGTCAGTGCCCGAGGCCGCCAGCAGTGTGGTCAGGCTGTGCCTCATGGGGCCCGGCGGCCGGCCCACGTAGGCCCCACGACGACTCGGCCTTTCACAATTAATATTCAGAATTTAAAACAAAACAACAAAAACTTGGTTCCAGTTTTGGTACCACCATTGAAGTTAATTTCTGACTTTTTCTTTTCTTCTCCATTGTGAGAATTATATCTGGTTTATTAAAATCACAAGGTGGTTGTGAACATCACAAGAAGTACTCTGTATGAAGTGACTTTATAAAGTGACTAATAAATGTTTAAATAAAAAAATAAAAAAAAAAGCTAGATAACGAGCTCTGGCCAGCATGGCTCAGTGGATAGAGTGTCGGCCCCTGCACCAAAGGGTCTCAGGTTCAATTCCTGGTCAAGGGCACATACTTGGGTTGCAGGTTCAAGCTCCAGTCCCAGCCAGGGCTCATATGGGAGGCAACCATCAATGTGTCTCTCTCATATCGATGTTTCTCCCCCTTCTCTTCCTTTCTTCCACTCTCTCTAAAAATCAGTAGGAAAAATATCCTCGGGTGAGGATTAACAAACAAACAAACAAAAAAGCTAGCTAACCAAGTACTATACAGGTTTTATATACTTATTTGCGATATAAGCACCTTAGCATCTTAGGGCCTTGTTTATCATTCCTAGACAGCTGCACACATTTATTGACCTGCAGGTCCCTGTGAGCGCTTGACTTTGGGGACCCCCAGCACAAGGGATCCTGGAATCTCAGGCTCTACTTGTCTATGAGAAATGGGGCTCCAGCACCTCTGGGCTGGCGGGCCAGTGTAGAAAGATACACGGCCCCAATGGTGACATGAGGCCATGTTGACCTCGTAACTTCCACAGGCAAGTTGGCCTGACTTGTTTGGTGTGACACAGGGACAGCTACACTTTGAGTGGAGGCTCTATCCAGCAGCCTGCGTAACCACGTGTGCTCTCTCAGCCCTGGGTGTGCCAGACCGAGCACCCCAAATTGCACATCTTCTAAGAGAATGGAGATAAAGACCTATTCTTTTCTCTTTCTTTTATGAAGGTTTAAATATTATAAATATTTTATTTTGGCCCTTTGGTTGGTCATTTTTCTAATTTCCGATATAAAGAAATAGGGTACCGTCTGCTTCTAATGTATCTTCAAATGATGTCACACTTGTGCTTATTACACTAAATGAAATTGGCCGGTAGGGGTGGTACGCGCCTGCCATTTAAAACCATCTTGCCTCTTCTCCTAGGAAAAGCCTTAGGAACCATAGCAATGGTGCCTGTTCCGTATGAGAAGATGCTGCGAGATCAGTCGGCTGTGGGAGTTGAGGGGCTTCCAGAAGGTGTTGCCTTTCAGCACCCGGAGAACTATGATCTTGAAACTCTGAAGTGGATTTTGGAGAACAAAGCCGGGATTTCATTCACCATAAACAGGTGACAGGCTCTGTCCCCTCGCAGCAGTTAGTATACAGTGGGACCTTGACTTACGAGTGTCCCGACTAACGAGTTTTTTGAGATACCAGCTGTCTCTCCGCTGATTTTTTGCATTGAGTGGACAGAGTAATTTGAGTTAATGAGCTCCTTAACGAGCTGGTCTTGGAACGAATTAAACTCGTAAGTCAAGGCCCCGCTGTATTTGAAGATAAGCTGAGAGCTTCATTTCAGTCGGTTCATTATGTTCTATTACATTAGAAGTTATTGTTCGGCTGTTTAATCTGACTTTCTTGTGTGTTCACGTTGGGTAATAGTGTTGGTTTTCTTGCAGACCTTTCCTAGGCCCGGCAGGTCCCCAAGGTAAGTGACAGCTTCTCATACTTAGTGACTGCCCTTGGCTGCTAAACCAGCTCTGCTTTTCTAATTAAAATGCAAGTTCGGCACGATCTAAAGCTTGTTCGTTCTCACTGAGGAGGTGGCCTCTGACATGGCAGGGTGGGTGGTCATGGTGTGTGCAGGGTGTACAGCTCAGGGAGACACACCCCACCTAGAAAGTGGAGACACCAGCCTCCTCGCAGCTCACCTGCTGGGGAGTTTCTGCACCCAGATCTCAGACAGCAGTAGACCCCCGTTGTCCTGGTGCACAGCACTGTGAGGGGCGTGGGGTCCCCTCCTGGTCTTTGACCACAGCCACGGGCCAGGCACGGCTGGGTTCAGGAGTGGGTCTAGGATGTGTGATGGCTCCCATGCTCCTGAAACTCACAGTCTAGGAGGAGGCATGAGACTGTCCAGCAGGGAGCCGGGTGTGGCCTGTGCTCTCAGGATGGCGGGAGGAAATCCCTGAGAGCCCTGCAAAGGGGTGAGAATTGTGTGATTGGAAGGGCTTCATGGAGACGCGGGGGTCAAGCAGGGTGTCCACAGGCTGTTCCTCCAGGAAGCCCATGCCATGTGACCACACAGAAAGCAATGAGGAAGGGTGTCTGAGGCCGCATTTGGGAACCAAGAACCCCTTATAATCTCCTGAACTTGGGATTCTGAGGGGACCAAAAATATAATAATTTAGCAGAAGTGTTTAGAGATCAACTTATGCTTACTTCTTATTTTCTCAGATTATTATTCTGAATGTAATTGGAAACCATAGCTGTATATGAAAGATCAGATCTAAAGAGGATGTCATACTGAGACTGCATAGGTAGGGATGGCCCAGGGGGGCGTAGGGTGGGATACACAGTTCAGAAGGCACACCGCGAGGTGGTTCTTCTGAGCATAGGTGACTCACGGAGCAAAGTCTGTTCCTGGAACAGCGCGAGCTCCTGGACTCCTCAAAGGAGGGACTTGAAGGTGAGGGTGGCAGGTGACAGGAGATTGTTGTGCAGATGACTTGTATTTTCATTAGAGGCTATTTAGTGCTTACAGTGTGCCAGGCACTATTTTAAGCACTTTGCATGTATTCTCACCCAACCACCATTTTCAGATGAGGAAACTGAGGCACAGGGCAGTTTAGTAAGTTGCTGGAGGTCACCCAGCTGGTGAGCAGCAACAGGGGATCCACACCTGTGCTCCAGCTCCGGTCTGCTCCTCGGCCCCCATCCTGCCCGCACGAATGGCCCCAGAACATGGGGTCAGGTTTGAGATGGTCTCTTCCCTCCACTGACCTGGAGATGAGAGTTCTGTTCTCTCTGTATTGGCTTTCATTTTATATATGCCTTTTAAAAAATATATTTTTTATTGATTTCAGAGAGGAAGGAAGAGGGAGAGAGAGATGGAAACATCAATGATGAGAGTGAATCATTGATTGGCTCCCTCCTGCACTCCCCGACTGGGGATTGAACCCGCAACTGGGCATGTGCACTGGCCGGGAATCCAACTGTGACCTCCTGGTTCATAGGTGATGCTCAACCACTGAGCCACACCAGCCGGGCTCATTTTATATGTCTTTGAATGTTGTCATATTTCAAGATGCGGAAAGGGGCTAATGTGTGTCTTTTCACTCCTGCACAGGTGGGCCTGGGGTGGTAACAGATGCTGAGAGAGCAATGTCACTGTCAAGTGAAAGGTAAGGGATGAATAAAAAATACAACCCACATCTAACCCCAAAGTGATCCTTTTTAGACTGGAAAGCCTTCCTTATTTTATTTTCTGCTGACCCTTGAACAGCATGGGTTTGAACCACATGGCTCTTTTTATGCCGCTAGCGGGCCAGCACAGTTCAGACCGTGCTGTTAAGGGGCACCTGTGTTTTTAACCTGCAGCTGGGAATACGCGTATGTGGAGGGCCGACATATGTTATATTCAGATTTCAACTGTGTGGCAGGTCGGTGCTCCTAACCCCCAAGTGTTCAAGAGTCAGCTGTATATTCTTTATTCTGTAAGATGTTTGGGATTCTATCGCTACAGTCAGTTAACACATTTGATTTTGTAACAAACCATTAAGAATGTTAATGTTAAACTTGTGGCAGTTTTGCTCTCAGTTTGGCGTGGGAAGGGGCTTCGGCAGCATGGAGATGTGGGGGTTGTAGCTCAGGGGTCCAGACACCTGTGGGCAGTCCTCACCGCCCGTCTTGACCAGGGTTCCCTTCTCCTTTCAGTGGTGGCCCCATCCATGTGAAAATGGAACCCATGGAAGATTCCGGTATGTATACCGATGCTTTTAGAATCCAGTGCTTATCAGGTTATCATCTGACACCTTTCTTTTGTTTAGTTAAAAAAAAAACATATGGGAACTGCAGTGGGAAGGCCGGGGAGGGTAGGGGGGCAGAAGGGGGGGTAAGAGATCAACCAAAGGACTTATATGCATGCATATAAGCATAACCAATGGACATAAGACACTAGGGGGTAGGGGAGGCCAGGGGATTGTCAAGGGCGGGGGGAAAAAGGAGACATATGTAATACTCTTCGTAATACTTTAAGCAATTAAAAAAAAACAACAGCTGAAAAATAATAAATAAATAAAAGAGGAACTGAAAAAAAAACATATGGGACTCTGAGTAAACTAAGAATAGAGGGAAACTTACTTGGTTTGATTTTTTAAGATCTACAAAAAAAAAAAAAAATACAACTAACATTATACTCGATGGTGAGAAACTGGAATCTTTCCCCCTAAGCGCAGGAACAAGGCAGGGCTATACCCTGTCATCACTCCTTTTCACTTTCATACCGGAGTCCTAGCTCCTGCAGTAAGGCAAGAAAGGGAAATAAAAGGTACACTGATTGGGAAGGAAGAAATAAAACTGTTTGGTCGTAGATGACATGATTGTCTATGCAGAAAACTGAAAGAATCAACCAAAATATGGGGTTTAGGGCACTAATTAACCTCAAATGGGACCTTATTTGCAGAATCATCATATTTTATTCAAATATCTAGAAAACAGCCTTCTAATGCAGTAAATGATTAGAGGGGAAATGTTAAAAGGTTAAAAATAGAATTTCTTTTTTAAAAAATATATTTTATTGATTTTTTACAGAGAGGAAGGGGGAGGGATAGAGAGTTAGAAACATCCATGAGAGAGAAACATTGATCAGCTGCCTCCTGCACACCCCCTACTGGGGATGTGCCCGCAACCAAGGTACATGCCCTTGACCGAATCGAACCTGGGACTCTTCAGTCCACAGGCCGACGCTCTAGCCACTGAGCCAAACAGGTCAGGGCAAAAAAATAGAATTTCTTAAAAACTCAAATGTTTAATTAAGAGATGGGAAAATATTGAAAGTATTAGAAGTGGAAAGGTCAGCCCAGTCAGTGTGGCTCAGTGGTTGAGCATCAATCCATGAACTAAGAGGTCACAAGTTTGATTCCTAGTCAGGACACATGTCCAGGCTATGGGCTCGATCCCCAGTAGGGATCTCATCAATGGTTGTTTTTTTTTAATGTAGATTTTTGGTTTTATTCATGGCTGGTGAAGACATTATTTTTTAAAAATATATTTTTTATTGATTTTAGGGAGGAAGGGAGAGGGAGAAAGAGAGAGAAACATCAATGATGAGAGAGAATCATTGATTGGCTGCCTCCTGCAAGCCCCCCACTGGGGATCGAGCCTGCAACCCCTGCATTTGCCCTTGACCGGAATCGAACCCGGGACTCTTCAGTCCACAGGATGATGTTCTATCCACTGAGCCAAACCAGTTAGGGCGACATTATTTTTTTAATTTAAATTCTTTATAGTTTAAAGTATTACATGTCTTCTTTTTCCCCCACTGACCTCTCCCCAGGCACTCCTACTCCCCAGCACATGCCCTCATACTGTCTGTGTCCATTGGTTATGCTTATATACAAGCATACAAGTCCTTTGATTGATATCTTACCCTCCCACACACACCCTCCCCTGCCTTCCCTCTGAGGTTTGATGGTCTGTTCGATGCTTCTGGCTCTATTTTTGTTCATCAGTTCAAATCATATTCCACATATGAGTGAAGTGAGATCATGTGATATTTATCTTTCTCCAACTGGCTTATTTTGCTTAGCATAATGCTCTCCAGGTCCATCCATGCTGTTGCAAATTATAAGAGTTCCTTCTTTTTTACAACAGCATAATATTTCATTATGTAGATGTACCATCATTTTTTTAATCCACTCATCTGTTGATGGGCACTTAGGCTGTTTCCAAATCTTAGCTATTGTAAATTGTGCTGCTATGAACAAAGGGATGCATATATCCTTTCTGATTGGTGTTTCTGATTTCTTGGGATATATTCCTAGAAGTGGGATCACTGGGTCAAATGGGAGTTCCATTTTTAGTTTTTTGAGGAAGCTCCATACTGTTCTCCACAGTGGCTGCACCAGTCTGCATTCCTACCAGCAGTGCACGAGGGTTCTTTTTTCTCGCCAGCACTTGTTGTTTGTTGATTTGTTGATGATAGCCATTCTGACAGGTGTGAGGTGGTACCTCACTGTTGTTTTGATTTGCATCTCTCAGATGATTAGTGACTTTGAGCATGTTTTCATATTTCTCTTGGTCTTCTGTATTTCCTTAGAAAAGTGTCTATTTAGGTCCTTTGCCCATTTTTTGATTGAATTGTTTATCTTCTTTTTGTTAAGTTGTATGCGTTCCCTGTAAATTTTGGAGATTAAACCCTTATCGGAGATATAACATTGGCAAATATGTTCTCCCATGCACTGGGCTCTCTTGTTGTTTTGTTGATGGTTTCTTTTATTGTGCAGAAGTTTTTTATTTTGATGTAGTCCTATTTATTTATTTTCTCCTTAGTTTCTCTCTCTCTCTCTCTCTCTCTCTCTTTATTTCAGAGAGGAAGGGAGAGGGAGAGAGAGATAGAAACATCAATGATGAGAGAGAATCATTGATAGACTGCCTTCTGCACGCCCCACACTGGGAATCGAGCCCGCAACCCATGCATGTGCCCCGACCAGGAATTGAACTGTGGTCTCCAGGTTCATAGGTTGATGGTCAACCACTGAGCCATACCAGCTTGGCTGACCTTTCCACTTTTAAAAAAAATACATGTTATTGCTGATTTTTAGAGAGAGAGGAAGAGAGAGGGATAGACGGATAGAAACATCGATGAGAGCCCTCATGGAAAGGTCAGAAAACCCCAAATAATCAAGTTCATAATATTCAGACCTCAAAAAGATAAAAATGACACCAGCTGGTTATAAAAGACTAAAACTAGAATTTAACAATGCTCACAAAAGCAACCTAGAATATGAAATGAAACAGTTTCAGAATGTGAAGTTAAAATTAAATCTAAGATAATCCAAAAGAAAAGCACTAGTCAATACTAAGAAGAAAAGATGTAGACAAAGGGAAAATAGAGACCTGCCACAGATAGAACAGGAGGCAGAGCACCAGCACCATAAAGCTTCCAGGTGTGGCTTATCCTCGCCGCCCCCAGGCACCAGGGGAACCCGGACATGAGTGGACCAGTCTCCTTGTTACACCCACGGGTCTCACCTCCACAGCTACAGGGGCTGTGTCCCTCCCAGTCACATGTAAATATGTGCTTAGTAGAAGCTCCACCTTCAATGATAGAGTCTGAAAAGTAATGGTGTGTGCCATGCCAGCACAGCCAAGGGTTTGGTGAGCCTGGGGGGGGGGGGGGGGGGAGTGGCGGTGAAGGATTAAAGGAAAGACAGATGAAGAGAATACAGCTGGGGCTCGGTGGATCTCCCGTGCCTGGATGAGGCCACAGAGAAGGATCCAGCCAGCAAGCTGAGGCTTTATTTTATAGTCAGAGAAAAAACAAGGTAGTGGTCAACATCGGTACAATGTTCTTGTGAGTTTCACTTGTTTTGACAGCACTTGCTGCACCTCCCAAAGCCCATTAGCTACCTAGGAAGGCTAGGGGGCAGCCATAAGGCCAAGCTTAATTATGCTAAGAGGGCTCTACCCTCTAAGCTGGGACTTGTTTGTGGCTCTGCCACAGGTCAATCCGAGGCTTAACTCTAGAGCAGGGGTGGGCAAACTTTTTGACTCGAGGGCCACAATGGGTTCTTAAACTGGACCGGAGGGCGGAACAAAAGCATGGATGGAGTGTTTGTGTGAACTAATATAAATTCAAAGTAAACATCATTACATAAAAGGGTATGGTCTTTTTTTTTCAATAGTTTTATTCATTTCAAACGGGCGGATCCGGCCCGCGGACGTAGTTTGCCCACGGCTGCTCTAGAGCCACTCCCTACATCTGTGCTTGTCCACCTTAGTTATTGTAGGTAAAACCAACAAGTCAGTGAAGAGAAACGAGCCGTTGATCTCGGCCGAGCAGCATTCAGCTGTGGTCTTAATCTCACTTACACATGACATGCCTTCAACTCTCACCCACTTAATCTTAGCCTCGAGTGCTTTTCAAGGCACAGATATGTTCTGCCTGCAGCCCCCACTTAGGAAGACGACAAGTGGGGGCAGAGGGAGTGGTCCGCTCTCCCAGGGTCCTGCCCTCAGATCCAAACCTAGACCTCCCTCGCCTCCCTCACAGCTGTTGGGCGTGAGCATGTCCCTCCCGCTTTAAAACAGGCGTCTAGTTGAGGCCTTTCTTTGGAGATGTGGTTCTGTTTAAACCAAAATATGGTCCCAGTGAATGAATTCTGCTGTGGATTTCATGATGCAATACAATTGCTTCCAGCTGCCCACCAGCTTCGGGAGCTGGCCATCAATCGGCCTATTTCTCTTGATATTTGTGTACACAGAACAAATGTTTCGCTGATTTTGAATTTTGAATTCCTTTCTCTGTCTCTCCCTTTCCTTCCTCTCCTTCCCCCTCTCTTTCTTTCACTACGAGGAAAGACAGCAGTAAATCTGTCTCATTAGCATGTCAAACAAATTCTGCGCTGTCCAATCTGGTTTCAATTGCCTGGATGAAAAAGAAATTGTTTCCCTGACAGCCCAGCTGTCGCTTGTTCATCAGTTGTTTCAGTTAGTAGGGACTTTAGTGCCTAATCAACCTGGAATGTGTACTTTGATTAAAATTTTATTATAAAATATTACAAAAGCTATATATGTTTAAATTTTTTTAAACATTTAATCACCTTTATTTTTTCTTTGTTTGTTGTTGTTAATCCTCACCTGAAGATATTTTCCCATTGATTTTTAGAGAGAGTGGAAGAGAGAGGGAAAGACAGAGAGAAACATTGATGTGAGAGAAACACATCGATTGGTTGCCTCCTGCAGGAGCCTTGACCAGGGCCAGGGCTGGGGAGGAGCCTGCAACCAAGGTACATGCCCTTGACCAGAATCGAACCTGGGACCCTTTGGTCCACAGGCTGATGCTCTATCCACTGAGCCAAATTGGCTGGGGCATGTTCAGATTTTTAAAAACTCAGATTTATAAGAGTAACAAGAAAAATCCCTTTTCACCCTTTTACTCTTTCCTTTCAAAATTCCATCCCCCTAAGTCTCCCTGCACACCTCCAATCCCTCCCCCATCTGAGGTGGCAACAACTTTTAACTCATTGGTGAAAATTCTTTCACATCATGTACAAATAAACACGTAAATGGCATTTTCCTTTTTCTTTTTTATGCTTAAGTGGACCTCCCTTAGTCAACTTTCCTTTGATCTTTCCATCAACTTACCTTTTTGTCCCATTTCTGAGCAAATTCCTCAACTTAATCTAACATTTCACTAATATGGCCATCAGCCCAGCCCATTCTGTTCCTCGGTTGTCCTAACAAGTTTTCCTTTTTGATAATCACATTTTAACTTTTTATTGATTAATTTGAGGGAAAGAGAGAGAAAGAGAAACATCGGTTCGCTATTCCACTTATTTATGCACTCACTGGTTGCTTCTTGTATGTGCCCTGACCAGGGACTGAACCTGCCACCTTGGCCTACAGGAATGATGCGCTAACTGAGCTACTCGCACTTTAAATATCCAGTCTCACTGTCCTTACACCAACAGCTATTACCTTTCAAAAGGCCCTCAGAGCTTGTCAATTGATGCTAAACAGGGAAGCCCGAGCCGTGCCACATTTTTGCTTTTGATGTTATTCACATTCGTGGTAAACTTGCATGTGTAATTCGGTAGCCGTTACCTTCTGCTGTAGTAAAAGGCACCAAAACTTAGTGGCTCAGTGATTCCATTTTGCCACAATTCTGTCTGTTGGCCTGGCATTGCTTCTTGTCTGGGCTGGCGCGGCGGGCTGCATCGCCTGGGAGGCCTGGCTCCTGGGTCTGAGGCCTCAGCCGGGAGAGCTAGACCCCACTCCCCTCCCAGCCTCCAGGAGGCCAGCCCAGGCGTGTTCACAGGGCCACTGAACTCCACCAACAGTAGGCTCCCATGCACACGCTTTCAGGACTCTGCTGTGTCCCATTGGCCAACGCAAGTCACGTGGCCAGGCCCAGCTTGAAAGGGGGAAGAAGTGACCCCATTTCAAGAGAACAGGAGTGGGCAAGTCTCATTGCAAACAGGTGTGCATACAGGATGGGCGCATATTGTGGCTGTTTTGCCAATCTACCACACCTTTCGCTGATAAAAGCTTTTGGTTTTACTAATGTGGTTTCTCCAGGTTTTCAAGTCCATTTCATTGTAGTGGGTTAAGATTATATGTACCTATCAGATCCCCGTGCAGAAGAATGTTTACATATTTCACGTAAATGCACGCATATATTCAGCCTTCTTAAAACAGGACATTTCCCCACACTAGATCTCTCTCTCCTTCCCATCTTTCCTCCCTCCATCCCTTCCTTCATCTGTCTCTCCCGCCTTCCTTCTTTCCTTATATGTTGACATATATAATATATATGTTATTTATGTTTTTTATATGGATAAGCCATTTGTTCACAGTGATGAGCTACAAGTTCTTTCGCTGATTATAATGTTGCTGTGTTCATCAGTACAGAACCCTGATGTTCTATCAGCTGGTCATCTTTCTGTGTTGGTGGGTTTGGCCTAACATGTAATTCTGTCATTTCCATTGCATTCAAAGGCATTTCTCTGAAAGCAGCAGCTGCGTCAGTCAAGAAAGAATCAGAGGATCCTAATTACTATCAGTATAATATGCAAGGTAATACTATTTTATAATCATTTTCTCCTCCCAAAGTTATTCAGGATGAAAAATTACAATTGCCACCCACCTGTGTGGGCTGCCCCTCACCGTCTTCCCAATAGCCCTTTCTCCGCCCACTCCCTGCTGCCACAGCCTCCCTCCTGCTCCTTCCTTCCAGTATGACCAAGCATGGGCAAGAGGCTGGAAAAAGGAAAAAAGCTTTCTTCAGGTAATTGCAAAACTGGCAAATAAACTAAAGGTCAACACTGTCATCAGGCCGTGGGCCCTCCTACAACACTGTTGGCTGTGTGTGTCCAACTTGAAATATGTGAGGAGTCTTCCATTCTGACCTCATTTGCTCTGGTTTCAGTCTTGAGAATGGGAATTAAAGCCCCACAGTGTTAGTCATCACACACTGGATAGTGATAATGTGACAGGTTTCTTCATTGGAAGAAAAACTTGATATCACTTAGTTCTGTGCCCATGTATGCACTTCACAATGAGGAAAAAAATATAAGAAAAGCATAAAAGAAATGCTTTTGTTGTTGTTGCTGGCACAGAAATATTGATTAGTAGAGTCACTGATAATAAAAACCAAAATGTATTGGGATTCAGTAATTTACCTTGCAAATAAAGTATTGCTGGATTCTCCCCTCCCTCTCTATTTTTACTTATAAGAATTTTGGGGCCCTAGCTGGTTTGGCTCAGTGGATAGAGGATCCTGGGTTTGATTACAGCCAAGGGCACATTCCTCGGTTGCAGGCTTGAACCCTAGCCACGTGTGGGAAGCAACCAACCGATGTGTCTCTCTCACAGAAAGAAGCATAAGATGTCCCCTTTTTGCAACCCTTCATGTAACAGTGCATCTCAGCTGTAATCACCAGTGGCCATTAAAACCAATTGTTAAATGTCAATAGGATTTTATCACAAGTAGATCAGGCTGACAGGTTCTAACTCACTCACTAGTCCAATGTTAACATAAAGTAGAGGTAACCAGATATTATGTGCCTCCAGGTGGGATCTAGTAAGAAGTACTCCTTCGGGTTTCTTGCCCTCCAAAATCAAACCTACCTCTGATGCAGTCTTTAGATTTACCTACCAATTTTCAGGAAATGTGGGAGATACAGAAACATAGGAAAACAACACTCCAAGGTCGCAGGCAGTAAACGCCAGAGTGGTAGAAGCTCGACCAGACATGTGCTGATTTCTTTTTCTAATATATTTTTATTGATTTCAGAGAGGAAGGGAGGAGAGAGAGATAGAAACATCAGTGATGAGAGAGAATCATTGATCGGCTGCCTTCTGCACACCCCCTACTGGGGATCGAGCCCACAACCCGGGCATGTGCCCTTGACCAGAATCGAACCCGAGACCCTTCAGTCTGCAGGCTGACACTCCATCCACCGAGCCAAACCAGCTAGGGCATGTGCTAATTTCTTCATCAAATAATTGCAAGGTTTTTTTAAATGGAGAAAAACCTGTTTTATAGTAAAAGACATTTCAACCAAATGCAATGTGTGGGCTTTGTTGGGATCCTGATTTAAGCAAACCAACTTCGAAAAGACAATTACTGCTTCCTGTTGAATGCCAAATAATCACTGATGGCAGGAATTGGAAAGTCCATTTGTAACCATTATAATAAAAGATTGGATCAAGAAGGAATCACCAGCCCTAGCCGGTTTTTCTCAGTGGATAGAGCGTTAGCCTGCGGACCAAAGGGTCTTGGGTTCAATTCCCAGTCAAGGGCACATACCTCAGTTGCAGCCCCATGGGGTATGTGCAGGAGGCAACCAATTGATGTGTCTCTCTTTCCCCACTTCCTCCCTCCCACTGAAAATCAGTGGCAAAAATATCTTCAGGTGGATGCTAAATCTAGAGAGAAATTTAGGAGTGGAATACTTATGTGATCTTAAAGTTTCTCCCCACAGGCTGTTGGCCAGTTGCAAAAGTGAGGAAAAAAACAGTAATTTTACATTGGAAACATCAAAAAATACCTTTATCAGATGATCAAAATTCACATCACCAGAGAGAGACATATGAACTCTTAGTTGGTCTGGGCTGCTATAACAGAATCCATAGAATGGGGGTCTTAGAAGCAACAGGCATTTATTTCTCACAGCTCTGGAGGCTGGAAAGTCCAAGGTCAAGGTGCTGGCAGGTCCAGTGTCTGGTGAGGACCCACCTCCTGGTTCGTAGATGATCTTCTCAATGTGTCCCCCCATGGGGTCCTCCAAGGGAGTCCCTGGCATCTCTTTTATAAGGGCACTAATGCCAATCCTGATGGCCCCACCCCCATGACCTAATCACTTCGGAAAGGCCCCACCTCCAAGTACCATCACATGGGTGTTAAGATTTTGACATATGAATTTGGGGGAAACACAGATATTCAGTCTATAGCAGATAGCATATGCCTCCAGATGTGATACCCTGAGAAGGATAGCCCATCATCTAGGCAGTATTCTGGCCCAAAATGCAAAACTTGAATCCTATCATGAAGAAACATCAGACAGGCTCAAAATGAGGAACATCTATTGTGAGGGAATGAGGGAGAGGGGTTTCTAGTCTTAAAAAATGGCAATGCCATAAATATCAAACACAGACTATGGAACTGTTCCATAAAGGAGACTAAAGAGACATGACAACAAAAACCATCCTGATCACACCCTGGATCCTTTACGGAACAGGGAAGAGCTACAAAGGACATTTGGGGCAACCGACCAAATGCGAATATGAGCCCTGGCCGGTTTGGCTCAGTGGATACAGCGTCAGCCTGCGGACTAAAGGGTCCCAGGTTCGATTCCGGCCGAGGGCACGTGCCTGGGTTGCGGGCTCGGTCCCAGTGTGGGCCATGCAGGAGGCAGCCAATCAATGATTCTGATTCTCATCTTTGATGTTTCTGTCTTTCCCTCTCTCTTCCTCTCTGAAAAAAAAAAAAAAATTTTAAAAATGGGAATACAAATGATAGATTAAGTAAAAGTATTGCCTCAATGTTAAAGCTGTGATTTTTATAACTATGCTGTGATCATATAAGAGAATATCCCTATTCTTAGGAAATAATCACTAAAGTGTTTAGAGATACAGAGCCATGGTGTATGTAACTTTCTTTCAAATGGTTGGGGTGGGGGAATATATATATATATATATATACACATACACACACCATATCAATAGATTGGGGGGAGGAATGGGAAAGATTACAAATGATAAAGGAAGTGATAAAATGTTAACATGTTATCTGAGTAAAGGGTATACAGATCTTTGTTGTATTTTATTTTTGCAATTTCTCTGTAAGTTTAAAATTAGTTCAAAATAAAAGCTCTTTTTAGAAAAACACGGTTCTGAGACAATTAAGAAAAGTTGAACAATGACTAGATGTGAGATGATGATAAAGAATAATTGTTCACCTGGGGCGTCATTATGATATTGGAGTGATGCTGAAGGCAGAGAGTTGTTGTCTTACTGGTACCTACACAGTATTTGCGCGTTGAATTCTACCATATCTGGGATTTACTTTGAATCACCAGCGGGGTTGGGGTGGGGTGGGGTGGGGTGGGCACAGAGGGAACAGGGGCACAGGAGTTGATGACTCTTGGCAATGGGGGATGGGCACGTGGCTTCATTATACCATCTCTGTTATGTATGTTTGAAAATTTCCCAAAGGACAAATAAAGGAACAATGAAAAAATGTAAAGAAAGGGTCACTGTACAAGGAGTCAAAATATTTCATGTACTGTACATCCCTGGGCGGATCTGGAATTATTTGCATTATTTTAAATGATTTTTCTTTTTGTATTTCCAGTTTTTTTACATATTGTTTGCTTTCCTTTCAGAAAGCCATCATTCTTCTGCGATCAAGGAAGTAATAGAAATGCAATTGCCAATGGAAGGTTAGAAACACAAAGCATTTAATTTCGTGTGTGTGTGTGTGTGTGTGTGTATTTTAGTTTACAGTATTTTACAAAGAACACACGTGTATGAAAATAAAGAAGGGGACTTCCTGGCATGCTTTTTTAGAGAGCTGGCTGGGTTCTAGTCCTAAAATGTCATCTTAAGGACTCTCTCACTCTTTTACTTGTGTAAATTGTGGTTTTGCTTAATGCACCTGGATGCAGAAGTTAAGTGGTAAGAAAACTTGACACTGGTGCCATTTGTGGTCTTATTTCATTTTGTCTTTTGGATGGGCATCCCCAGATTTTTTTGAACTGAGCCAAAAAGTATTTTAGGAAATTCTTTTTTTGTTTGTTTTGTGAATCCTCACCCGAGGATATTTTTTTTAATTAATTTTTAGAAAGAGTAGAAGGAAGGGAATGGGGCAAGAGTAAAAGAAATAGAAAGACACACATCAATTGGTTGCCTCCCACACATGCCCCACCAGGGGGCCCTGGATGGAACCTGCAACCCAGGTACAAGCCCTTGACTAGAAATCACAGCCACGAGCCTTCAGTGCACAGGCCACACTCTTAACCACTGAGCCACAGTGGCCAGCGCTTTTGTGGGGGTTTGTCAACGTGGCATAATATTTTAGTAAAACTAATTTAAAATTAAATTTATTGGGGTCACTGTTTGGTTTTATTGTTCAGTGTTTGTTTAAATGCTATACCCAGTAGGTACAAACATATTCTAAGGATATTCTTTATCATTAAAATATTTTTTATTTTTCATAGAAATGAGACCATTTATTCTGGAGTTTGTGGATTTTCAGCCCATTGAATTAAAATAACATACATTTTTTTTTTTATTGTGCTTCATTTAGTAATCTGCTAAAAATATTTTTAGCTCTGATGCTGAAATGTGAGCTGATCCATAGTGTCCTTTTAATATGAGTTCTTTTATTTTATGTCTATAAATAAAGTATATCATTCTATCCTGGCATTTAATAAAATGTCACTTATCTGAACAGATGGGATTTTGAATTAGTAAAATCGGAAGTATAAAATTGCAATTTTATCATTTTTCCAATCCGAAATGATTTAACAAGAAGACAGTAGTACTTGGACCATAGTGTATAAACTATAAAGATTATACTTTTAAAATAAACATTTATACCCTTGAAGTTGTATTTTTTTTTTCTGAGTGAGTCCTTTTTTACTTAGAGATATTACTTACCTTGAAATATCACAGGGTCTGAACTGGTTTTCCCATGACTAGGGGAATTTTGAGATTGAATGAATATTCCCATCCTAATTTGATAATTCCATCATACTTCACTTTTTTGAATTCTAAAAATGGTTTCATGAAGTTGTTTATTTTATGGGGAGGAAACCTCTCGTCATTATTTATAACAGAGAAAACTTGGTGCCATTTCAGTGTCCAGCAGGTAGAGAATGGATCGTGGTGACCCATTTGGAAAAATGCTCCCAGTAAGCTCAGGGAGAAACACGCTTGTCTGGCTCAAGACACGTTATACCCAAAACAGAGAGGGACAAAAAGAAACCACAGTTTACAGTGGGATCTCAATTTTGTTTAGAAAAATTAATATAGTCAAAATAGTGGAGTAAGAAAATGCCGTGCTCACCTCCTCCCAGGACCACATCAAAATTACAACTAAACTATAGAACAGCCATCATTGCGAACCCCCTGAAGTGTAGCTGAACAGAAGCCCCATAACTAAGGACATGTAGAAGAAGCCACACTGAGACTGGTAGGAGGGGCGGACAGGCAGACGGCTGGTCCCACACCTATGTGTGACAGTTTAAAATCTGGAGGGATTTCTTGGCTTCAGAGGTCCCCCATGAGGAGCGAGGGGTCCCAGCCCAGGGTTCCAGTGCTGGGAAGAGAAGTCCCGTAGCTTCTGGCCAGTGGAGATTGTGGCTGAGTGAGACGGAGGCTGCTGGAGTCCCAGGGGCTCCTCCTAAAGGGCCTACGCACGGACTTACTGGGACTCGCTTACTCTAAGCTCCTGTGCTGGGGCAGCAGCTGAAAAGGTGCCAGGGACATATGGAAAGAAACTGAATTGTCTGGTTTCAGGGCAAGGGCTAGAGGGACACTTCTCCCAGACAAATGTGCCGGGAGACACCATTGCTCCTTTGTTGAGCCCTCCCTCCTACCACAGCCTGCAGGCTCAGGCAAGTGCCACATCTGAGTCCCCATTGACTTGGCTAACACCCTTCACCCTGCCCTGTTGATTCCCTGAGACCCCACCCTACCCAACTTGCAGGCCCACCCAAGCTGCTTTCACTGGCTTTTCCATACAAACGGCCCGTCTTGGCTCATACTGCGGGCTTTACTGAAGTCTCTGAAAGGTTCACAAACCCCATACAAGCAGCATCTGGCCTCACCATGCACTGTACCGCTCGCTAAGCAGCCCTAAGCCTGGACTAGCTGCAGCCAGCCTCTCCCGGGCATGTCCACGCACAGCAGAAGTGACAGCCATCTGTAGATCACTGAAGCTCATACCAAGGGGCCCCGGGCAGGACATAGGCAGTGACTGGACCTGGCCTGCACCCCAAATCCCTCCTAAGAGGCCCCAGAACCAGCACCTGGTGGCCAGCTTCACACCACACCGGAGCACCACCCAAACACCTCAACAAATGACACACCCAAAGGACAGACTCGGCAGGCACCGAGGCCCTGCCAAAGTGTCTCCTGGCCCATAGCGTTAACCCCTGCACAGCACTCCGTTTGTAAGGATGGGTTGGTGCTGACTCACCTGTACTTTGCTGCCTCTGTGGCTCCTTGTGTCTGTCTGAAGTCTGGCTCTTCAGACGCATAATCTCAAACTCCCGAGTGATCATTCACACAACACGTGAAGTGAGCTTTGAGTTCCTGGGATAGGACTAGACAGGCTCATTTATATTTCTCACCTAGAATTTAAGTGAATGTTGTATTTATCATTTGACCACAAACATAACATCAACTCTGCTTTTACTCTCAGCCCTTGTTGAGCGTTTCTGTGACTCTGTTAAATCACTTTTCATGGGATGTCTGTCTACTACTTAAATGTCCTCCTGGACACACTTATATGTCTTATTTCTTTTCCCCCTTTTAAACTGAGAATAACAACAAAGGTAATATACCTTTAAACACCCTTCTTTTAAAATCTGCAGTTTAATGGTCAAAATCCCCTTTTGACCATTAAACTGCAGAGACTCAAATATCATCTGATGCCAAGCCATCTTGTTTTCCTGCAGCTAAATGTTCTCAAGGTTTTAAAAAATTCATTCTGGACCTCTGAGTAATGGCACATTTTTAGAGGAGAATTGGCCTAATTTTCTGTAAGTTCTAAATTTCAATTCTGTTTTAAGGAAACACAAATCCATCCAATACTACAAGTTCTGCAGCAGGTGTTGAAGATCTTAACATCGTTCAGGTTACAATTCCAGGTATGGAAGTTTATCTGGCTTCATCATAATTTATATTATACTAGAGGCCCCATGCACGAAATTTGTGCAAGAATAGGCCTTCCTGCCCCTGGCTGCTATCACCGGCTTTCCTCTGGCACCTGGGACCCGGGCTTTCCTCGCAGCTCCAGATTCATCCAGAAGGTCGTCCAGAAGGATGTCTGGTCTAATTAGCATATTATGCTTTTATTATAGACTTTTTATTTTGTTATATTTTAAACATTTTCTTACATGAATTAGTCTCTTGGAGTTGTGTTGTTGTTGTTTCTCCTTAGTTCATCCTATTAATTATGGGATGACAATTCAGGAATATAGAATATGCTGCAAATCCCCACTCACTGAATATCTTGCCTGTATCAAACATTGTTAATCAAATAATTGTTCTCCCAGCCATGCCCTGGCATTAATGGGAAAATACACCTCAAAGCAGATAACTCCAAACACTAGCTACGATTGAATTGGATTTGGCCACAGAAGTGAAATTTTCTTTTTCTGCCCATCAAGTAATCTCCTTTTCTGAGTAAGTGTATGTAAAAGATATCTGGAAAGCTACAACAGAAGCTAATTGCATAGTTCCTCCAGAGAAGGAAACTGAGAACTGAGATGAGGATGGAAGAGAGACATTCACTATGTACTATTTTATATCTCTTGAATTTTGAATCATGTTGTTGCTTTATTTATTCAAAATATTTATTTAAATATTCTATTTAAATTTTATTAAATAGAATAAAAATTTTAAGTATTGAAAAATATTCCCTACTAATCTTAATACATTTTATTTCTTTTACATGTCATATTGCTTTGGCTAGGATTTCTGTTATAATGTTGAAGAGTAGTGGTGAAAGTGGACATCCTTGTCTTTCATAATATTGAAAATGTCCCTGAGAGTAATATGTAGTATGTTCATATGGAGTTATAGTTTGGAAAATATAACTTTGTAATGTAATGGCTTCCATTTACAAATTTCCAAGATGCTTAATTTTTGCCAATACTAAACTGAATGATAAGCCACTTAAAGTGCTTTTTCATATGCTAACAAGCATTTCTTCTAACAGCCTTCTTGGGGGCAGATACATTATTAATCCTCGTTTGTTTGTTTAATTCTTTTAGATAATGAGAAGGAGAGGTTATCAAGCATGGAAAAGATAAAACAACTAAGAGAACAAGTTAATGACCTCTTTAGTCGAAAATTTGGTAAGTTTTTATATCGTTACATATCCAAAATTTATATATTTGAAATAGTTCTTTTTAATTGAATACTTTATCTGAGAAACTGATCTTTCTGTGAAGGAGCTATAATCAAAATGAATGTGTATTTTTACTGAAAAGCTTTTACATAGAAACACTAATTAAAATAATAATAATAATAATAATAGCTATCTTTGATTTACTGAGTTCTTACCATTGCTGAGCATTGTTTTTGATGCTGAACACGTGATTAAATATCTAATCTTCACAAAAACCTTTTTCAGTAGATACTATGATAATCCCTATTCGATGGATTGAGAAACTGAGTCTGCTATACTACCCACTGGCAATTTCAGAATCAGTAAGATTATTCTTACATCACAGTACTCCTGGAAATTAAAATAATAATGGCTCATCACCATTGTTGTCACTTGATGTGAATGCTTTTTAAATCTTAACGATAAAGCATAGTTTGCATTAAGTAAATGATGAATGCAATTAATTTTGCTGTTTGTCTCATCACAGGGGAAGCCATTGGAGTGGATTTCCCCGTGAAAGTTCCTTACAGAAAGATCACATTCAACCCTGGCTGCGTGGTCATCGACGGCATGCCCCCCGGGGTGGTGTTCAAAGCCCCCGGCTACCTGGAAATCAGCTCCCTGAGGAGGATCTTGGATGCTGCAGAATTTATCAAATTCACAGTCATCAGGTAAGTGCGAGTTCCCCTCTCGGTCATGAGAACTCATCTGCAGACAGTAACTTGCCTGCAGTAGATGAGGGCGGGATAGGGACTTTTACCCCCAGGAGGTGGGCGATGGGTCCCTGCAGTCAACTGCTGTGCCCTGCTGCCTCTCAACTCATTTTATCATATTCTGCTTCTCTGAGCTGTGTGTCCCTGTCCCTGTTTCTTTTGTTACTGTTATTTTTAATCCTCATCCAAGGATATATTTTCCATTGGTCTTTAGAGAGAATAGAAGGGAGGAAGGAAGGAGGAGACAGAGAGAGAAACATTGATATAAGAGAGACACATTGTTGGGTTGCCTCCTGCACGCACCCCGAGCAGGGGTCAGGGATCAAACCTGCAACCCCAGTACATGCCCTTGACCGGGAATGGAACCCACAACCCTTTGGTACTCGGCCAGGGCCCTGTTCCTGTTTCTTGGTGATCATGGGCAGCTGTCTCAGTTTTATATCTCACTGCAGTAGCATAGAGCTGACACTCACAAAAGTTTGTCAAATAGAACTAAATAGACAGGAGAGAAAAAATGAACACTGTTGCATTCACCAATATCTCTTTCTCTTCAGACCACTTCCAGGCCTCGAGTTTAACAATGGTGAGTATTCGGGAGATGATATCATTCCAGTAGCCGCTGTGAAGCGGAAAGTGTCTTGGTGGGAACTGACGATGGGGTCCTTGCTTCTTGAACCTTAGCGCAAAGCATGCTGCTCTTTATACGCATTTTCTTTTTCCTGCTTGTTGCAAAGTCTCTTCATTCTGTTCCTTGAATTTTCTTAGCCAGGCTTTTTTTTTTTTTAATCCTCACACGAGGATATTTTTCCATTGATTTTTAGAGAGAGTGGAAGAGAAAGGGAAAAAAAGAGAAACATTGATGTGAGAGAAACACATCTATTGGTTGCCTCCTGCCTGAGCCCTGACCAGGGCCCAGGCCAAGGAGGAGCCTGCAATTGAGGTATGTGCCCTTGACCAGAATCGAACCCGAGACCCTTCAGCCTGCAGGCCGACACTCTATCCACTGAGCCAAACCAGCCAGGGCCTTAGGCATTTTTTTCTCACACATGAGTTTGATGGACCTTGCTGCACAGCAGACTGTGTGTGATACGTGAGCCCTTTATGGTTGGGGCTCATATCATAATACAGTGGTGCCTTGACTTACGAGTGTCCCGACTAACGAGTTTTTCAAGATACGAGCCGTCTCTCGGCCGATTTTTTGCTTTGAGTTGCGAGCTAAAATTCGGGTTACGAGCCAGCTTCAGATACCCCACTGCTAGTTGGCGCAGCGAACGTCACAGTGAACGCCACAACATCAGCCCAGCATCACATGTCTCACTCATTCACTTTAAGCGGTTAGCTCTTAGTTGAAGCGTCAGTGTTGTGCTCGCATTTGTGCTTGCAGTTATTTTGCAAAACTTCGGTTTTTCAACCATGGATCTGAAGAAAGTAAGTGCGAAAGACAGTGCTGAGAAGAAGAAGCGGATGATGTGCATTGAATTAAAGAAAGAAATTATCGCAAAACATGACCAAGGTGTGCGTGTAATCGACTTGGCGAAGCAGTACGAGCGTAGCACTTCTACGATCTGCACCATACTGAAGCAGAAGGAGTCGATACAGGCTACAACTCCAGCCAAGGGCGTTAAAATAATTTCTAAACAGCGGACATCTACCCATGAAAATATGGAGAAGCTGCTAATGGTGTGGTTAACGGAGAAGCAGCTCGCAGGAGAGACCGTGACGAAGGCTGTAATCTGCGAGAAGGCACGAGCTATTTACGCTGATTTGCTGCAGCAGACCCCAGGCACTTCAGTGGACGAGGCACCGGGCGAGCCGTTTAAAGCCAGTCGGGGCTGGTTCGAAAATTTTAAAAAGAGGACCGGCATCCACTCCGTTGTCAGACATGGTGAGGCAGCGAGCGCGGATATAAAGGCAGGTGAGGATCACCTCAAAACGTTTGCTGAAATTATAGCAGCAGAAGGATACATCCCCCAGCAAGTCTTCAACTGTGACGAGACAGGACTCTTCTGGAAGAGGATGCCAAGGAGAACTTATATAACGGCAGAAGAGAAGAGGCTGCCAGGCCACAAACCCATGAAGGATAGGCTAACCCTCGCACTGTGTGCCAATGCAAGCGGCGACTGCAAGATTAAGCCCCTGCTTGTTTATCATTCAGAAAACCCCAGAGCCTTTAAGTCACATAAGATCCTGAAAGAAAAACTGCAGGTTATGTGGAGGGCAAACCCGAGGGCATGGGTCACCAGGCAGATCTTTGTGGAGTGGGTGAATTTGGTCTTTGGTCCTGGAGTTAAGAAATATCTCCAGGAAAATAACCTACCCCTGCAAGCTCTTCTTGTCCTGGACAATGCACCTGCCCATCCACCTAACCTTGAAGATGACATCCTCGAAGAGTTCAAGTTTATAAAGGTGCTCTACCTTCCACCTAACATCACCCCTATCCTGCAGCCAATGGAACAGCAGGTGATTTCTGATTTCAAGAAGCTCTTCACCAAGCACCTGTTCCGCCACTGCTTTGAGGTGACGGAGAGCACAAACCTCACCCTTCGAGAGTTCTGGAAGGACCACTATAACATCGTGACCTGCCTCAGAATTATCGATATGGCCTGGCAGGGTGTTACAAAGAGGACCTTGACTTCTGCGTGGAAGAAGCTGTGGCCTGAGGTAGTGTCTGAAACGGATTTCGAAAGACTCGAACCCGCAGCGGCAGTGGTGGAGGAGATTGTATCCCTCGGCAGGTCCATGGGCCTGGACGTGGATGAAGGTGACATCAACGAGCTCATCGAGGAGCACTCCGAGGAACTGACGACGCAGGAGCTAAAGGAGCTACACGCGCAGCAGCACACGGAGGTTTTGCAGGAAATAGATGACACGGAGGAGGAGGAGGAGGTTATCTCTGTGAGTGAGATAAAGGAGATGTTGGGAGTGTGGGAGAAACTTTCAGACTTTATTCAAAAGAAACACCTAGAAAAAATTGCAACTGGGCGTGCGATGGAGCTATTTAATGACACTTGCCTAACTCATTTCAGAAATATTCTGAAAGGGAGGATGAGACAGATCTCATTGGACAGATTTTTATCGAAAACCCCTGTAGATGAAAGAGAAGAAAGCATGGCGAAAAGGGCAAAAATCAGCAAATAAGATTCAGTTATTCAATTATTCAGTTCAGCCTTTCTCCTCCAACTCCATCAGCATCTTTAAGTCGTTTGATCTCCAAGGTAAATGCTGTACATTAAACTTAATAAAACAAGTTTATTGCACTACATTCTATTGTTCAGTATTGTGTTTTTATACAATATTTGTTATTTTTAAATACATTTTTCTTATTTAAAAACATTTAACAAAACAATTGCGGTGTTTTTTGGGTGTCCGGAACGGATTAATGGCATTTCAATTCATTGTAATGGTGAAAATTGATTTGACATACGAGTAATTTGAGTTACGAGCTCCGTCACGGAACAAATTAAACTCGTAAGTCAAGGCACCACTGTACTGAACTAGTCCATCTCAGTTGGTAGACAGTGATTCCTGGCCACCCCAGCCCCAATCCCTGGGGCCCCTACCCCCCAACTCCCACAGTTCAGAACTAAAAGTGGTACCACCTGGCACAGCAGTACTCCCAGAACCCTCCAAGCCCCCCTACCAGTGCTGAAAGTGACATCTGTTCTGACTGAGCAATGCCCCAGGCACTCTGCTGGTTAAATATTTTTAATGTCTCCCCTAGAGTCTTACCAGCAAGCTACTATCCTATAGGGTGAGTGAGGCAGGAGGTGTAGAGATGTTCTCAAGAGCTTGAATCCCTAGGGAACCTCCTCACTTAAAGTATTCTTTTGAAATGCTCAGTTATTAGTCCTAAACTCATCTGGTTGCTAAATGATTTTTACATTTTTAATAGCTTTATCGAGGCACAATTCACATGCCAGGAAATTCACTCGTGGAGAGTGTACACAATTCAGTGATTGATTTTTAGTAAATACTGTAAAGGGAGTTGTGCAGCTATCACCACAGTCTGATAGAAGAACATTTCCATTGCCCCCCAGACATTCCTCCTACCGATTTCCAGTCATTTCCCGTTCCCACCCCCAGGCCCAGGCATACCAACCACTAAATTGACTTTCTGTCTATATATATATATATTAATTTGATGTAAAGTTCAAGCATTTAATTTGCTATGAAAGTCTACCAAAAGTGAGTTTTCATGTCTGTGTTCTTTCGAAGTAAAGCGTACTTGCATCATGGCCAGGTTCTTTCAGTTTAAAACAAGTTAAGTTCTGTGCGGTCCTCTGGCCATCACCTGTGTCTTTTGTGACGCTCAGCAGGTGACTCATACACCTTCTGTGCTTGTTCCCTTCTCTGACTATAAAGTTCTCTTGAGAATCAAAAGAAAAAATATGTTCAATGCAAATGTACTTTCAAACCATTCCTCTTTAGACCAGATGTGGCAAACAGAGCTGCTTGCTGAACTTGACCAGGATGTCTTTTGTTGGGCTCATGGTACCTTTTAAAAATGGTCATCTGGCCACTATTAAAAAGCCTGGGACTTTTTCCTGAAAACCAATTTCCAGGTTTTCTTTAGAAATCTGCCGGTCTGGCCTCAGAGGCCATTTCCCTCTGGCAGCCCTTTGCTGGGGCTGAGTGTCCACCGATCCTGGCTTCAGGGGCGGCTTACTCTCCAGTTAACCACACCCCCTACCCACTTTCTCTCTTCCGCTTATCATCATGCTTTTGCTGCTGCTTTTCTAATAGCAGAGTTAAAAGAAAAGTGAACTATTTCTTTATTTCTTTATTCTCTATGTCTTTATCAAAAGTGGGAAAAAGAAAGATAGACCTTGAGGGCCGTGTCTTTCAAGAAAAGTGGGAGAGAGCGTATTTCTTCGTGGAAGTGCAGAATATTCCTACGTGCTTAATATGCAAACAGAGCATGTCTGTGTCCAAAGAATACAACCTCCGACGCCATTATCAGACCAACCACAGTAAGCACTATGACCAGTACACTGAGAAGATGCGCGATGAGAAGCTTCATGAGTTAAAAAAAGGCCTCAGAAAGTACCTCTTAGGGTCATCAGAAACTGTGTGTCCTGAGCAAAAAGAATTGTTTGCAAATGCGAGTCCCAACGACAACGCTGCCATGCAGGCTGCAGAAGATGTGACTGGGAACTTATGGGAGAAGTTACGTGAAAAAATCAGATCATTTGTGGCCTACTCGATTGCGATCGATGAGATCACAGACATTAATAACATCACCCAGTTGGCCATATTCATCCGTGGTGTCGATGAGAATTTTGATGTGTCGGAAGAACTTTTGGATACAGTGCCCATGACAGGCACAAAATCTGGAAATGAAGTATTTTTGCGTGTTGAGAAAAGTCTTAAGAAGTTTAATATCGACTGGTCGAAATTAGTGAGCGTGGCCTCCACGGGCACCCCTGCCATGGTTGATGCGAACAATGGGCTGGTGACAAAGCTGAAGTCCAAGGTGGCCACGGTTTGCAAGGGCTCGGACCTGAAGTCCGTTTGCTGCATTATTCACCCGGAATCGCTCTGCGCTCAACGGTTAAAGATGGACCACGTCATGAACGTGGTAGTGAACTCCGTGAACTGGATATGCTCCCGTGGCCTGAACCACAGCGAGTTCACAACTTTGCTCTATGAACTGGACTGCCAGTATGGCAGCCTCCTCTACTACACGGAGATTAAGTGGCTCAGTCGTGGGCTGGTACTGAAGAGGTTTTTTGAATCGTTGGAAGAAATTGATTCCTTCATGTCATCCAGAGGGAAGCCCCTGCCTCAGCTGAGCTCTCAAGACTGGGTCAGAGACTTGGCCTTCTTGGTCGACATGACAATGCATCTGAACACTTTGAGCCTCTCTCTCCAAGGCCACTCACAGATCGTTACGCAAATGTACGACTTGATTCGGGCGTTTCTGGCAAAACTGTGCCTTTGGGAAACTCATTTGGCAAGGAATAATCTGGCCCACTTTCCCACCCTGAAATCAGTTTCCAGAAATGAAAGTGACAGCCTGAACTACATTCCCAAAATTGTGGAGTTAAAGACCGAATTCCAGAAAAGATTGTCCGACTTCAAACTCTACGAGAGCGAACTGACCCTGTTCAGCTCCCCGTTCTCCGTGAAGGTCGAGAGCATCCACGAGGCCCTGCAGATGGAGGTGATTGAGCTGCAGTGCAACATGGTGCTGAAAACCAAGTACGACAAGGTGGGGGTCCCCGAGTTCTACAAGCACCTCTGGAGCAGCTACCCGAGATACAAGAGCCACTGTGCAAAGATTCTCTCCATGTTCGGGAGCACTTACATTTGTGAGCAGCTGTTTTCCATTATGAAACTGAGCAAAACAAAATACTGCTCGGAGTTGAAGGACTCCCAGTGGGACTCCGTCCTCCACATCTCGACATGAAGAGCATGCTCCCGGCAATGCCCCGTGGGCTATAAGACTAGAGTCCTCTAGACCAGCGGTCGGCAAACTGCGGCTCTCGAGCCACATGCGGCTCTTTGGCCCCTTGAGTGTGGCTCTTCCACAAAATACCACAAAATACCACGTGCGGGTGCACATGTACAGTGCGATTGAAACTTCGTGGCCCATGCGCAGAAGTCGGTATTTTGTGGAAGAGCCACACTCAAGGGGCCAAAGAGCCGCATGTGACTCGCGAGCTGCAGTTTGCCGACCACTGGTCTAGACCCAAGGGATTTTGAGATGGGGAAATGAGTTACTAAATGTTTCTGTTTTTTTCACTATGACTCACAAATTTGATTTGCAGTCTCATACCTGTTTTTATGACATTTTTGGCTTCACTATAGTCCAGTAAAAATCGAGAAAGTTTTCTTGTATTTCTAGTTGACTTTTCTTACGCCTGGCCCTTGTCACTCATTCACATGGTACTTGCTTGACCCCTGTAGGCATTGGAGCTGGCATCTCCAGGTTTAAATCAGTCAGCAGAGGCCAGAGGGAGGAAGACAGATGTGTGTGCTCATTGAGGGGCATGTATGCACACACATTTATCACACACACACACACACACACCCCTTTTGAGTGGTGTCCCTTGTGACCTAACATGATTACAAGTTTAAGCAGAGTTGGTTGGAGATGTAGTATTACTGTGTTATCAGCCTCTGCCTCCACATGAACCCAGAAAGTGAGGGTTTAAAATGGAAAACCCCAAAACAACATTTGCCTTGAAAAGGCAAAAAAAAAAAAAATAATTGAGGTTTGGAGGTTGTCTCTTTTTTCAACATTATTTTGTGTGCTGCGCCAGCATGGCCAAGGGTGACCCTGAGTGGGGGCGGTGAAGGATTTAGAAAAGACAGACAAGAGAATAAAGCTGGGTCTGAGTGGGACACTGCCCTCTCTGATGGAGAGAGCACCACGGACTACAAGCCATGTCTTTATTTTATAGCCAGATTCCACAAGGTAAAGTAAGGGCGTGGTCAAGATGTTTACAACATTCTCGTGGGTTTTGATCCTACTCAACTACATACAGCTGAACTCTATCAAGCCCACATCACTCAGACACGTGGTGCCATGTGTTCGGACCCTAGGTTCAAGCTTACAACTATAGCTGTTGGCTATAATTGTGCTGGGAGGGACTTGTACATGGCCATGAGAGGACTGTGCCCTCTCATTAGTCTGAGGCTTGAACCTGTCCAAACACTGTAGCCGCTCTTCACAATTTTGAAATAATTCAAATTTATAGAAAAGTTGCAGAAATGAAAATAGTATGAAGAACATTTATATGCCTTTTAGCCAGATTCTCATATTGCAACATTTTACCCCATGTTTTATTATTTGTTTGCTTTCTCTCCCTCTCTCTTTCATGTGTGTACAACATTATCTATAAGTGTATAGATGAATGAGTATATAACACATATGTAAACATATATACATAATTTCTTTCTGAACTATTTGAGGGCAAGTTGTACACATCATTTACCCCTACATACTTTATGGAGTATTTTCTAAGAGTAGGGATATTCTCTTAACATTACCAGGCTTTAGTTACCAACTCCCGTTAACCGAACATTGATGCAATACTTTCACCCGATTTACCATTCATACTCCAATTTTGTCAGTTGACCCAAGATGTCCTCATTTTTTTTAAAGAGTAATGTGTTTTTTGTTGTTGTTTCTTAAACATATTTTTATTGAGTTCAGAGAGGAAGGGAGAGGGAGAGAGAGATAGAAACATCAATAATGAGAATCATTGATCGAC